TCAAAGTTCAGGTCATTGAAGACAGTAGCCATCAATCTCTGGAACGTGGCCGGCGCGTTGACTAGGCCGAACGGCATCCTGTTAAACTCGAATAACCCCATTGGTGATGTAAAAGCTGTCTTGGGCTGATCTCCGTCTGCAACCTTGACTTGAAGATACCCAGAAGTCAAGTCTAAACAGGAAAAATACTTGGCCTTGCCTAGCGCATCAAGTGCCTCCTCTATCCTTGGGAGTGGATAGGCGTCTCGAACTGTTTTGGAATTAAGCCTCCGGTAGTCGACACACAGTCGAATGGTGCCATCCTTCTTACGGACTACAACAATGGGTGACGCAAAAGGACTTTGGCTTTGCTTGATGATGTCAGCTTTCCGAAGATCTTCTATGTGGTCTCGAACTTCCTGAAATTCTGCTTGGGGAATACGTCTGTATGGCATACGAAAGGGTGTCGGGTCTACTAAGGGGATTTCGTGTGCCACTGTCTGAGTTGATCCTATGTCAAAGGAATTCTTTGAGAAAACATCTGCATTCTGCTGTAGTAGAGCTTCGACAGCCAGTCTCTCTGAGGGCTTCAGATGGGAATCGTCTAGGCCAACATCTGGAATTGGATGTTCGTCTAACACTGTCTGTTCTGCTGAAATTGCGCTGTGGTTATTGGTACCGGTAGTAGATGGAGGGCCAACATCTTGAATATATGACAAATTGGCAACAACTGAGTTCCGTCTTAAGGTCACGGTCTGCTGGGATAAGTTGCACAGGCGTACTGGGGTCCTTCCCTCTTGAACTTGGACCACTGCTCTCCCTGCAGCTAAAGGCTTATTGTCACTGTCCTCCACGAGTGCCGTCAACATCCGTCTCTGAGTTGATTTCGGTGCTCGGGCAGAAACGACCACCTCTTCTCCAGGTCTGACCCTCATGTTGTTTCTCCCGACATAGCGCAACTGGCCGATTTCTCCATCATGTCTAGCCAAGTCCAAGCCATCATCATTCAGGTACTGGAATGCCGAATACCACAGATTAGACATCTTCCGAACCTTGGACATAAATCCCCGTCTGTACTTGGTGTGCAAATTACCTCGAACTGCAAGAATGGCATTGGTACCAATCAGGAGAGGAGTAGACTGCCTGAAGTTTGTCATCGGAACTACGAGGGTTGGGACATTTTCCAACAACTCACCAAGGACCCGTATGTTCAGCACAATGTAACCCTGATGAGGGACAGCATGACCTCCAGCTCCATGTATGGTGATGTCCGTTTCTCTCGGGACTTGACGCCGAAGCTCAGGATGCATGGAAACAAACTTGTCAGTAATGGTGGTTACCTGTGAACCAGTGTCTAGCAGTGCTGTGCAGCTCTTTCCTGACACGTCAACTTCAATGGTGCTCACCGGTCCCACTAGATGCTCCTCTTTTTCACTTTTCTGGCTTAATTGTGTTGCACTCGTGACTCGGTTGTCTATACAATGGTTAGGGCTGTCCTCCAATTTGCCCACTGAATGCCCAGTATCAGCAGGCTTCTCTAGTTTAACTGCTGCATTCTCTGCCCTCTGCGCATCTCTGCTCTACGTCCAGGTCGTGCACACTGTCTGGCGAAGTGGCCAATCTCTCCGCAGTTGTAACATCTTAGCTCCGGATTGGAAGGGGGGACGTGGCTAGTGAAATTCTCCTGCCGGATGTTCCCTTCAAAATGCCCGTGAGTGGCAACACCTTCCAGGTACTGGATGCGCTGTTCCATCCGTCGCTGCCCCTCCATGACGTGGTCCATTGTTGACAGCTGGCGTTGCACCAGCGCTGTCAGCTCTTGTAGCTGGTCATTACTGCTGGTTGTCCCCTGCTGAGCACTCTGAACTGCAGGTACCACAGGGACTTCCTGCTGGGTAGGGGCCTTTGGATGTGGAACCTCGGTTGTCTGCTGGAAAGACCCGTAGTTTCTCCTAGCCACTCGTGCCTGGCGGAACTCCTCGGCAACGACTCGTAGTTCCTTTCGTAGTGCCTTGAAGCTCATGCCCCTAGGTTGCATTGGTGCCAGCCGCTGTCGCACTGAATTATCGTGGAGCCCGGTCATGAATTGTGTCGTGAGAAGGAGATCTCTATTTTCGCCCAAAGATACATGGCCTCCCTGTCTCTTCTTCACGTCCTCCACATGCCTTAGGAGAGCCTCCAGAGCGATTGCATACTCCCCAGCGGTCTCCTCTGGTCTCTGCTTCCTAGCAAAGAATACTGCGATGGGAGCTGTGGCCGCATTGCCTTCCCCGAACTCATCGAGAAGCTCTGTGATCGCCTCCTCCGCCGTAACCTCCCCACGGCTCTCCAGGTTGAGGATGACATCTCGTGCCTCAGCTTTCGTGTGTCTAACGACCTCGTGGAACTTTACGTTCTCTGGTTGCGGACCCTTAGCTTCTAGAAGATACCTCATATCACGAGCCCAGTCCTCGACTTTCAGCCCATGCTTCTTGGAGTACGACCCACTGAACGTTGGTACATCCCTCAGCTGATGTGCGGTATATGTACAGGGAATGCGGGCCTTTGGTGGTGTTGTGGCGTGAGTGTGGGCGCCAAGGGGATCGAATTCTGCCAGATGGAGAGGGCTTGGGTAGATGGTGGGCCCTGCTGGTCTCGGCTGGCTGCTGCTCATCACTGTTGTATCACATAGAGATGGGGTAACTCCCACTCCTGGTACTGGGTTGGGGTGGAGGGGTGCTCGAAATGGATTTAGTGGACTCCCCTCAAGCTCGTGGAAGGTCAGGTTGCGTGGACATGGCGGGGTCTCTGCCATCCTGCACTTTTCAAGCTCTCCAACTAAAGAACACTGTGTTGGTTTGTTTAAAAAAAAAGTCTAGGGGAAAAGATGGCGGAGAATTTTGAAAAAAAAAAAATGTCCCAGCTAACGAATAAATAAATGGCTAATTTCCAAAAGAAAATAATCAATCCCGGGTTCCGGCACCAAAAATGTAACGGAGAAAAACGGTTCACTAAAGAAACTATCTGTAAAGGCCTGGTTCAAATTGATAAGTCGCGAAAAATTTAATAGAAAACTGGGACAAATTTTAAAAAGAGAAAGAGACAGACTGAATTGGAATGGAACTTTAAAAAAAAAACAATTTAATCCACGATTAACTGCAAGTTTTACATTCACAAAAAAAACCTTTTGGGAAAACAAAACCAGAAATTAATAACTTTGGAAAAAAAATCAAATTGGAAACAAAAAGTAATTGGAAATGAAAAGTAAATAAACCCAACCAAAAAACTAAAGAAGACGAAAAAACCCAAAAAAAAACCCAACACAGTGCCAATAGCGGATTGCCTTAGAGTGCGTTCAGACAGAGCACATGATATCTAAACACAAAAAATACAAAAGGAATATACTTTTAAGAATTGGAAAAAATACACAAAGCAAACAAAGTTGGGCTACACTAAAAAGAATACTGGTTAAAAACAAGATAACAAAATTCTAATAACACAAGCAGGCCTTCATGAAGTATGGCAAGTGTCTCTTATCTACCAGGCACTGCTAAACAACCCAACTTTCTTGTGAATATCTAATAAGCTACACATGGCCATCCTCAAGGTCAGACTGTAAACAATGGTAAGTCCAGCCACCCAGGCTGCAAGATGTTAGAGTAGCCACTAGCCATTTCACAGTTAAAGTACACACCATAAGTACTTGCATAAACAATACAATCAAACTCACACAGCAGTTGGCAATAATGAAAGGACTACAGTCTAAGTCTAAAATCTATTAGCACACTACTGGCCAAAGAGTAACATGAAACATCCTGTGTCCAGGGCAAAATCTCCCTCAGGCAAGTTGACATAACTTCCAATTAGACTGGTCTAGTCTCTCCATACATCAATGACTTACTCTACTTCACCATATATTTGTCTAACTAAATACAATCAAGCCCATGTATCAACTTAAGTTTACGATACTTGACTGAAACAAGTCTATTCATTATCCCTGGCAAAGCTGTAGGAAAACCACATGTTCTCCTAAAATAAAACTGGGCTATTAATCCTAACCTTGCATGGTGAAATGGTAAAGAAATTAAAACATCGCTCTTCTAAAATAGCGCATAAAATCACAAGATTATCAAGGAAAAAAATCAAGGATACGTTCAAAGTTCCAAACTAAATCATCAATGAATTCTTCAGGGTAAAATCAAAAGAACTAATTTCACGGAGTCACCAAAACTCTTTGGAAATGAAACCTCACTTCTCCAACATGTTATGAATAGAAAAGGAACTTATACAATTATAATCCTAAGAAAAATACAAAACATATCCTAAAATGATAAGAAAACGCTTGTAGTCGAGAGTAGTCTAAAAGCAATGGTCTAAAAGCAAAGTCATCACCAGCAGTATAAAAAGTGAGACTAACAAACTAATTGTAAGAGAGAACAACTTAAATATCAATGTCACTGATTTTCTAACAAAAACAACCAAATAAACTTAGAAAAACTCACCAAAGTGGTCTAGCAGACTGGCCCATCTAGGCAGGTTGGGCTAGGGAAATTTTGGCTTGCTCCCTCTTCACTGCCTGTCTGCTGAATGGAGGGTCTATATCTTCAGGGGCACAGAGTACACTAGGATGGGGACATTCCTAAGTGTTACATAATCTGAGGGGGGGGGAACACTCTTAAATGTACAGGGGTCAATCTAGGGTGGGCCATTCTAGCAAATACAACTACATGTATGCAGGGGGAACTACTCCTATAAAACAACTAAGGGAAATTTGCCCCTATTACATTTAGGCCTATATCCTACTTTTAAAGGCTCTTTCCAATTAATATAATTTCATTTCAAACATGTTTTGTAGCCCAATTGGGCGCATTGCACGCCGTGATGGCCTTTAAATGTCATTGGTCTGGAAGTGCCAGTTGGAAGCCAGCACTGTTGTCTTGAGGTCTTCTCATCCGTATGAGCCAATTCTTCAATTAACAGAAAATAATTTACTTGAGGCATTTTGTAAAATTTGCAAAATCGTTTTTTCTTATTGTCTTCAGATTGTGCAAATGACATCAATGCGAAAGCATCGGAGAACGTAAACTCAGTCAAGATGGCGGAAGGTGCTTCAGGCAGAGGCATCGCAGACGGGAGCCCCGGAGTTGAGACAGATCTTCCAAGACAAGAAGGCAAGTACTCTTCATTAATTTTTCTTCGTTAGCGATCTTTCTTTATAGCTGTCCTGTTGACGTCCTTATATTTTTTTTTATCAATAATCCTAATCCTCCAAAATTCACCACTTTGTGGAAACTCAGTATGACACATACATTGTATTTGAACTTTCAAAGCCCTTGTGAAATTACAGTTGCTTAAAGCTCTACATATTTATTTCTGAATTTTGAAAAAAATCTTACCGAATTTCTCTGGTGGAATATGAAAGATCTTTTGGAGGATTTAGGGTCAATTAAAAGTTTCAATCTTTGGTTGTGTGTTTGTGTTCTCGAGTTTGGGGAGTCAGGTTGGCATAGCGGTACTTTCCTTGCCTTCCACCGCTGTGACCCGGGTTCGAATCCCGCCTGGGCCAATATGTGGATCAGGTTTTCAGTCCCTGCCTGATTCCCTGGGTTTTCCTCAGAATATTCTTCTGGGGTTTTCCTCCCACATCTTAAACTAATTTCTTCACACGGTCTTCTCTTTAATGGGCCCCATGGGAGACCAGTGGATTCCACTGAATGGGGCTACCCAGTTAAAATAAAGTCTTTTCAGTTAATACTTTGCAGGGTTTTGTAACTTTGGCACCAGAAAAATAGACACCAAACTTATGTTGAACAGCGGAAGTGAATTCTTTTCTTGATATTGCATTTTATGAAAAAGTTTGGAATTTTGGAACTCGTGTTGGGTTTTACAGAGTCTTCCATCCACTGCCACTGTGTATTTTGGGCCTAGTCAGTTTACCATACAACAACAGAGGGCAGCATTTAACCATAGAAATGAGTTCCAGTCACTGAAACTGCTGCATTGTGGAATAAATAAAGTGCAGTGCTACATGTATTTACATTTGTTATTAGCGGTCGTAAAAAAAAAGTACATGTACCGGGTACGTGTAAGTATGAAATTGTTTTGTTAATTGCTGAGAATTACTGAATTAATGTACATGTACATGTACATGTACATGTCATTTTTTGGGTTAAATCTGATATCCTGATTCTTGATGTTGACGACATTGACAGAATTGTACATGTTGAGATATGAAATGCTCTGTGATTTTTACCCTACATGTATGTCCTAAAAATACCGGTATGTACATTACCCTTTAATAATCTACTCTCATGACTGCGTGTAGGGACAGATCTACACAATGCACAGATGACATATGGGTTTTTAATCCCCGCCCCCATCCCCCTTTCCCCATCCCCCTTTCCCCATCCCCCTTTCCCCGCCCCCATCCCCCTTTCCCCACCCCCATCCCCCTTTCCCCTCCCTCATGGGCAACGACAAAATGGAGTTAAAGGGAATGTACATCATTGGCTTTTGGTGCAATTTTCAAAAATGAACTATTTGAGGGGTTTGTATAATAGATCAAATATTGTTACACTGACATTTTTGAAGTTTTGTGTTCGAAAATGCTGGAAAAGCCAAGAAAAAAGAAAATGTTCAAGTAGTCTGGTTCCCTGACTCCACTAAAGATGAAATGTATCAATTTATAGATGCCGGAAAATTGTAAGGTAAGGGAACCAGTCTAGCTGGCTTTCACCCGTTCATGAACATGTAACCAATAGCAAACAAAATTTTGACTGAAAAAATGGTAAACTTGGAGCAGTAGTTAAAATATAGTTAGGTTTTTCCAACGGTGGTCGGCCGACCACCGTTGGAAATTTATACAAAAATACCATTTTCTTGAAAATGACTTCACGCCAGGTGCCATAATTTTACAGGATGCTTTAGACTGTCATTAACCAACATCCTAGTAAGGTATTTCGTAAAAACTTGGTAGTTTTATTTGTTGATGTTTGCAAATGTTGTATATTCCCTTTAAGCCGTAAATTCCTTGAAAAGGTGCATCAGAATGCTCAAGGAAGCATCTAGAATTAAACTTTTGGGGCGGGGGGAATGCCTTTGTCCCCCATCCTAAGTTTATAACCTGGGGTTTCGTAGAATCGTAACAATATACAGTGAGTGTGCCCTCAGTTGTCGGAACCCTGTGCGTACACAGAGTGAACTGTCACCTTTTGTGTTTGATATATCGTGTACTAAAAGGCAGGATTTTTCCATTTTGTATGAGACTTTTGAAAAAAAACAAGCCCTAGTTTCGTGGAATGCGGACTTGCATTATGCGCATGCAAAATAAAAATGTATCGCTTTGAAAATCACTGAGTCAAGACACAAAAAGGAAAAAAGAAATACTTGTTTACAGTTGACTGGCATTGGTTTGCATTGACCACTGATGCGAAAAAAGGCAAAAGAACTGTGTTTTGTTATAGACTTGTCTGTTTCTGTTTGTAAAAAAAAACAGAGCTGTCACTGTAGTGTCAATATTTATGGATCGACTAGTCAGCATGTTTCTTTTTGGGAACAGATATTTGACAATGTTTCTTTGACACATGCACGTTCCATACGTGCCTACAGTACTCTTTTAGGAAGAATTCAGGTTTCTGCAATGTGCACATTTCTTTCTTCTGAGAAGCTGTCACTTGAATTCCCAAGTTCAGTTTCACTTTCATTGACGACATTTCAATTATGTAAAAGTGTAATGTAAAATCAAGTCTCACGGCATCTTCATTCAGACTCATACATGTACTGGTACATTTTAACAAAGTAGAGTAAAGTCAGTCACGAGCCAATGTGGCCCATCAGGCTGGCGTTTATCTCCGGTTTCAGTAGCACGAAACGACTGAGAATATTTCTACTCCCCCTGGATGGGATGCCAGTCCATCGCAGGTTACTCCCCAGCTAATGCGAGTACCCATTTATACTCCTGGGTGGAGAGAGGCAAGTGGGGATGAAGTGGCTTGCCCAAGGACACAACACATGGCCAGCAGCTGGATTTGAACCCCTGACCCTCTGATCATGAGTCAGAAGCCCTAACCACTAGGCCACACTCTCCACATTTAATAAAGTGTCCAGTTTTAAGTGCAATGTACTGTTGGTAAAATGGACATGCTAGTTATCAGTTGAGTAATCACTGAGATGCACAGACAACTGTAGTACTTTTTGGCATTTGTTGTGGTGTTTTGCACTGTTGCAGTCCAGTGAGCAGCCCAACACTTATGACAAGACCACCAACCAGGTCAAGGTTTGCTTGTCCATGCTTCAAATTAACTCTGCAAATTTATGCAGATGTAGCAACCTTCCAGCATGTAATAAAGGGGCTGACATTGTTTCACATACAGAACATTTACCGGTACTTCTGTAGAGAATGGATATCTGGATATTCATACTATGTTATGTTCAGTTAAAACTAAGAAATAAGTTTGAAGTCTTCGGAACGAGCCTTTGATGGGGCATTCCCTATAAAATGGAAACCATGCAGTTATTCCAAGAAGTATGTGTATGAATTCCCCATGGAAGTTTTATGTTGTACATTTATAAGTAAGATGACTGTCAAGTTAGGATGTCAGGATTGTTACATGTACTGTACCTGTACATCGTAAGCAAAAGAGTTATTTGCTTTCGGTTTATTTATCTAGATCTCCAAGGTTAAAACATTGTGTGCTTTTGTACATATGTACACGTATGTCTCCTGACCTGGTCATGTCTTGAATTACATACATTGTACTTAAACTACATGTACATGTATCTAAACCCCTGAAGGTGTATTTCATGATGTGATCATGCAACCTTTGACTCGGTTCGAAATTGGCTTATCATTTGATCTGTTTGTTCAGAATATCTAACCTTGCCCCGACATATAAAATTCCCATTAAGAAACTTCTGATCGTTTTTTTTTTTTTTTTTTTAATGAGGGGAACCATATCTGTTTTCACAACCGGTTTCCAAAGTTATTCTCACTGGAATGTAAACAGGGGGTGCACTTTTTTATGTATCAAGTGACTCCTATTACGCACTGACACAGTGCGTGGGCCCATTCTCTGAGGCTCCGGTGAAAAGGGCTTGCCCCCTCGTGATCGCTCGTGCGTGCAAGCACAATAGAAAAGCCACTATTGAAGGAGTGGTTGGCAGAGACAGGAAAAAAAATGAAAGGTTTCACTGTCGTAAGCACTCGAAGCATGCATGCCAGCGTGGAGAGAAAGTTTGTTGTGCCGATATAGGGAGCGTGAGGGGCCCCAGGATCACAGAGGATTACACTGTGTGTATCTTGTGGATTGGGAATTGCTACAAGTATTTGGATTTTTATGGTACTGATACACAGTAGATGTATGGCGCTGCATTGTGATGGCATAATCTCGGTGAGTTATTTTTTGCGGTATTTTGCTGGTAGACAGACAAGGTGTACCATGTACACTGTCTGCACTGATTTTGGTTACTTTTGAAGGATGCACATTGCTGGTTGTGTTGATCATTCTTCTGTTGATTTTGACTTGGTGGCCGGCTGGAAAAGGCACATATTCGTTCATTACAGCAAATATCCTGCCAAAATCTGAACCACGCATAATGCATGTGCTTCCATATTCATGGTAAGTGACATCGTAGTGTAGGAAGTGCTCGCAGATTACTTGTCGTAAAATTAACTTCTGAGAAAGGAATGTGCAAAATGATTTCATATGTACATTGTACCAGTAGGTCTGTTTTGACATGCAAACTGAATGAAAGTGAGATGATCCAATCTTAACTACATGTATGTCTTTAAATATTTATTTAATTTCAGGAGTATTTTGCAAGATAATACTGTACAGCCTTTGAAAGTTTAAAGGGAAGATACAACATTTGCAAACATCACAAAACGAAATTATCAAATTATCACAAAATACCTTACTGGATTGTTAGGGAATGACAGTCTAAAGCATCCTGTAAAATCGTGGCTCCTGGTGTGCTGACATTTTCAAGAAAAATTTTATTTTTCCAACGCTGGTCGGCCGACCAGCGTTGGAGAAAACTGGCTTTTTTTCAAAAACTGCTCTGAATTTTCATAATTAGTTATTCCGCATTTTCTTTGCAATTGATTACACACATGTGAAGGGGTACTAGTCTGCTAGACTGATTCTCTGACCTTACAATTCCCCAAAGTCTATAAATTGCTTTGTTTCATCTTAAGTGGGGTTAGGGAACAAGACTGCAAGAACATGATTGGTTTTCTTGGTTTTTCCAACATCTACAAGCCCAAAACATGAAAAAAGTCATTTTAACAATATTTGTATAACATGCTAATCCTCCAAATCCATTTATTTCTGAAAATTGCAGCAAAAGCAAATGTTGTACATTCCCTTTAAGTACAAAAATGAGCCGCTGTTTTCCTGCATGTGTATAGTAGACAGTTTTGGAGAATTCGGAATTGATGTCTTAGATAAAGTGGGGAGGCTTACTGGTAGGGATTGGCTACTACATGTATGGGCTCCATGCGCCAACAAAAGAGGGCGTGTTTTACTACTTTTGAGAGTCCCTTGGACGGGACACGGCGTGTGCGTTCTGTACTAGTTCGTGCGTGAAATACACACAGCTTATTTTTTTTATTCTGAATGTGCACAAAGCTAAGCCATAGCGTCATTGCACGTGAGCATCAGGCGTCGTCGGCGCGCGTACGTTTCAATTTATCTTGTGATGGTCTCCCAGACTAGTCCCCGCCCCCAATGGCTTTGGGTCATTCGAAATACACAGTGGATGGACCGGGAACCAGTCTAGGTCTCCCCCAACTCTCCTTTTCTGGCCATTGAAGGGGTACTTGTGCACGGAGCCCATAGTTTCCTCATGCTTGCAAATTCTTAACCATCACCTGTTTTCGGCATTCAACATGCAGACCTGAGGTTTGCACACCTATTGAGAATCAAAGATGTGCCCAAACACTTCACCATTGTGATGCGCATTCCTTAGCTTTCGGACACAATCATGAAGCAACTACTGAAGGCTCTAGCTCACATCATGAAGTAACTACTCGAGGCATACACTCTCACCGCGGAGGAAGGAATTATCCATTCTCTCATTTAAGAGTGAATGTTAGAGCTCTGAGAAGATTCTATGGCATAACAAGCAACAGTTTGAATGCAAAGCATGGGCCTTAGCCGACCATGGGAGGTTTATGCCCGTTAGTTCTTCCATTGTAATTGATTACTTCAGGGCTGCTGTTTTTTCACAAGTGGACTAGGTTTTTAAGTTCCTTAAAGAAGCTTACATTCACTGGCCAGGACGGTGCCAATGGGCACAATTATAGAGAAAATCCCACGAAACAGGCACCTGCAATTGTAATTCGCTTTCCGTAAGAAACTACTGCAAATTCAGCAAGAATAAGACTATCATTGCACAAACTTGTGCGTGGACAAGCATTACATTCACTGTGTGGACTTCCGAACAAAAGATGTCCACGTAAACCAGGTAGCAGCGACGTTGTGTTGACTTGCCCACGTCCACACAAGGTTTCCCCCTCTCTGCAAAACAGGTTTAGAGGCAGTTTTCGGTTAGGTTTATCCGTGGCAAAATGAAGAGAAACTCTAAAGGGAATCATAGGAAAAAAATTGGGTTGAAAGAGTTTTCATAGTTTGACAAAAATGATTTTTTTGTTCACTGGTTTTTCTTAACTACACGAAAACAAAGGAATGTCCACACTAGGTATGTAAAACAAACATGCATGTGTGTGTGCGAGTTTATTACTCAAAAGAACAGAAAGTTGTTGATTTAGGATAAAATAAGTTGCGACATCATAATTACACGTACATTTGTACATGTAGTACATTTTGAGTTTCCTAACAATCAAAGAATTCTCTGTTAGAATAACAAAGTTACTAAGTTGTTTCAAAGAGAATTTGTATCCATTTTCTACAAAGGTGCATACATTATTGGTGAATAATTTTCTCTTCAGATTTTGGAGTAAAGTCAATTTGTAAAAGAAAGACTGAGTTTCAAATAAGGCAGATCACAACCTTGTTATAACACATGTACACATGTATATTCCAACTTATTTATTACCAAACTTGACTTTTTAAGAGCGTTTTTAACAGTGGCATATTTTTTTCCAAGTGTTAGCCAATCCCATTATTAAAATTCGGCCTTTTTAAGCCAAAACTGTTTTACGAATCTTTTCATCATTTTCTGATGGCCTTTGTAATGAATTACCCTCGGCATGCAACCTTCAGGCTATTTCTCACCGCTAGGCGGTTTTTCTGCTGCCCCTTTGTGGCTATCACCCACCCAGGGCAGTGGGTGTTGAAAATATGCTGTCAATGCGATTGTCAAAAGATTTGTGGATTAGTGGTTGCCATTCACACTTTACCAACTTTTTTCGCGGCTCTGGAAAAATGGATGCCATACCTGCGGCTACTTTTCTGTGACCTTAAGTCAAGTGTGTGGTTATTCAGCATCAATCACAAATTGCGGTGTTGCTTGTAAAGATTGTGAAAGTTTTATTGATTGAACCTTGCTTACGGCTGCCGTTGGAAATTAAGTTGTAGGCCGTTTAGGTCAATTCATCATGACTTCTGTATCAGCATTACCTCTATAACCCTCCTCAATCCTCCAAACTCTAACACCTGCAAAGTTATTTGTTAAGAAGCTTACGACACGTTCAGCACATCGTAAGTTTTGCGAAATGGTTCACACGCTGCGTTGCAAGTTGCGACGAGTAACAACTCGACCCTACACTTCGTGAAATCGGTTGCAGGTCTTGCAATTAAATGTAATTTGAAGGAATCAGAAAGTTGGGTCTAAACCCAGGCAATGTTACTCTACAATGTACACAGGACTTTTTGTCCCAATTTCATTTTAAGTACAAGAATGGTGCCACAACTGCACAATGTTTGAGTTTTGAGGATGCTGACTTTGTAGCAAAAATGTCCAGAAATCTGGATAAAATTTCTCAAAGTTCGAGGTGTGCACTGTCACTGTATGTGTGTATAAACAACACCATCCACATATACTGAAATTTGTATCCTTGTGGAGACATTTCTTTGTTCTCGTGTAGTAAAGTTTTCGAGTTTGAAAGTGAAATTTCAAAATGCTCTTATTTTAACCAGAATTAATTTCCTTGGCTGAAATTCAGATTTAATATCCCTTTTCTAAAACTCTTCCATTTGCGACAGATCAACCCACCTTGGAAATTCCCAGTTTTTGAGTAAAATCCATATTTCGTGAAAACCTTGTGGAGACATATTCATCTATAGAAATTGCCCTGTGGAGACGTATACAATCTTTTGTTCCCTATTGTGTGCACGTCTCCAGAGGGCACGGTGTATCAGATCACATACATCCACCTTATGTACTGCATTCTGACCCTGGTTTATACATGTGGATTCACTCAATGATCACAATAGCAATGATGAGTGACGTCTTTTGTCAACAGTTGTACCTGAAATGGACCTTTAATTGAAGCCTCCAGAAGTACATGTACATGTATAACAGACAGCAGACGGTCCACGCTTAAGCCGGTTCCGGGCTAGAAACAGGTTCCTTCCTTGCGATACAGATAGTCGCACTTGGTCATCAGGGTTGTTAATTGATCCCAAAAGTTGGATATTTCCTGAGCGACACACACCCAACCTCAAATTATCCACAAATTCTTTACCCTTCAGTTATCAGTTTTGATGAAGATGAGTGCATTTACGGTACGAGTGTAGGTTCTTGTAACAATAAATCCACTGTGTAGAATTTTACCGGGATACTTTTTTTGCATAGAGGAAGTTTACAATTAAGAATATTGGCTAAAATTTTTTTTTCATATCCCTTTGTTTGCTGCAGGTCAACTGAAAAGCTCTTACAAGACTGAAAACCGCAATGCAAGCAACAACAACCTGGTTGAGGATTCCACGACAAAACGTTGCAGCTGCTGCCCGTATGGCTACCACATAGATCTAGACTTCCTTGACTTCTGTCAGGACATCTCCTCAGGAGCCAACCTGAAGAAAATCAAGAAGGTCAAGAGGCCGCGACCCAGACACGAGGCTGTCAAGAGTATTAAACCCCCGCCGCCGATAGTCCCACCGAGATCAGTTTCTGTCACTCAACATAAGAAGTGGAAGCGCCAACGCGACAAGCTTGAGGCCGATAAAATCCTGGAGAAGGAAAATGCCGCATTTGTGGCCACGTACAGCCAGTTCGCAAACTTGATTCGTCGGCGGTACATGAGCGAAGGGTTGGACTTTCCGGAGGGCCCAGATGGCAGGGATTACGTGCCCATGGACACCCAGAGTCTTCCAGCTTTTCCGCTGGATGTGAGCCTGAGTGATGTGGAAACTGAGAGTGTGTCCTCTTGTTCCAACATCCCACCAGTGGCAGACAGGAGACGCAGCCATCCCGTGGGGCACCCACTGGATGACGAAGACATGAATCGCGACAACTACCTGGGCATCCCGCATCACCTCCTGGCCACCAACCTCCTCAGGATGTCCTCTCAAAGTGGATCTAACAGCTCCTTGTCCTCCACTTCCTCAATAAACTTCTCCCAATCTTCTGTTGGGAATCCAAACAGCTATGGGCAGGGGGCAATGCCTTCCCCGCAGCTGGGACAGGGCTTTTTCCAAAGTCTGGAAGGCTCTCAGGCTTCCGGTCGATCAACGCCATCTTCAATCAGCGCCTCGGCACTTGCTGGTGTCCGACAGCAGATGGCAGCAGCTCTTGTCCGGTTGAAGCAGCTGGAGGACCAGGTCAAGGCCATTCCTGTCCTCCAAGTCAAGATCTCGGTCCTGAAAGAAGAGAAGCGACTCCTGATGCTGCAGCTAAAAGCCAAGAACAAAAAGCCAGACTCAAGGGAGATTGGAGTGGGTGATGGGATCGTTGAATGGAATAAGATTACTTTAAACGGGTCCGAGACGGAAATTGGAAATCTGGAGGACTTTCAGAGCGAGGATCTTGTTACCAGTCAACCTCATATTTCAGCAGTCAGTGCCTTGCAGAGAATTGGCAAAACTAAGTCAGACCCCAGTGCCAAGAAAGCAATTGTGAATCCTGTCCAAAGATACCCAGTTGATACAAGATCTGTCGGGATCGACACAAATTTGGTGAAATCAGAGACAAAATCGGTCGGTATAAACGTGACTGCTGATGATAGCTCTGATCAGCCTGACGCATCACACCAAGCAAATGGTTGGAATGGCCAGCCGCTGCATGACAGAGTTATGTCAGAGACTAATGTTATTAACGTCAGCAGTGTTGCCCAGCTTCACTCCTCACCACCTCCACTTAGAGACTATGACAGTTACAACAATATGCAAGGAAAAGCCGCCGCTCAGGAAAAGTACAAACGTGCAATGATGTCACCTCGAGTCAACAGCCTCCCGGATTTGAGTTTTTCTCCTCCGCCCGTATCACCAAAACCAAGAATCCGGAGTATTGGAGTCAACACCGAGTTGATGGAGTCCCGTGAAAAATCAACAATGGTGCTGCCTCAGACTAGAAGCCAGCAGACAAGCACCATTTACGTGACACAAGTGGAGCAGGGAGTATCGACTGAGAGAAACGTTACAAATCAAGGAGTTGTTACGGATAAGGCAGTGTTTTTGGAGCGCACAACTAACACTGACAATGCAATCAGTAAGGACCAGTCTACCTCCATGGACCCCGTGGTCTCGTCGTGCAGAGATCGCGGTTGCAACACGGACATCATCCAAAAGCGGATTTCGGCTACAAACACTGGCCCCATGGTGCTCAAGAAACCAGTTCAGAGTATCGGTTGCAACACAACTGTCGTCGAGTTTGCCTCTAGAAAAATTACAAGGGATTCGGGGACCCACCCTGTGTTCTTGCCAGTGTGCTCTCAGTCCACAAATACAGAGGGAGTGGAATGTGTGGACTTTGGAACGGGGACGCACATCATGGTGCAGGATTCTAGCACTTCGACATCATCCCCACAATTGAAGGAGCAGTGCGTGGGTGTGGACCTACGGGTTCAAGTACAAACTGTGGACCACTTCACATCGACTGAGAGTGTTGCTTTAAGCGACTGCACAACAAATACAGAGAAAACTGAGGTGACAAGTCAAGGCGTTGATTGCATTGCGGAGATCCTCGATAGCTACACATCCATGGACTCTAGTCAAGTCAGCGATGAATCAACTAACACAGAAAGAGTTGCTCAATCGCACAGAGGAGTCAACTGCATACCAGTCACAACAGAAAGTTTCACGGCTACACTTTCCACTGAGGTTAGCGATGGTGCAACAAACACAGACGGTCCGGACATGTTGAGCAGAGGTGTGGACTGCATCGTGGAAACTTCTGACAAGTCCGTGGATGCTGTGGACCTTCTAGTGGAATCCGTGGTACCTTCAACTGAGATTGTCACAGAACAGATTGTAGTTCAGACTGTGGACAGTAACCTCATGGCAGCGATGCCAGCAATGGCAACATTGAAACCAGAGACTGCTGATAAAGCGCTTTCAGTGTCGATAACGGCAGAAACAGCAGAGTGTGGTACAGAAATGGCAATGCTGAAGTTTGTTGACGATGGGACCATGTACGAGTCATCAGTATTCACCAGTGAATTTGGAATGATCACTGACCATCTTGGACTGGACATGGGAATGAACACTGACCATCTTGGACTGGACATGGGAATGAACACTGACCATCTTGGACTGGACATGGGAATGAACACTGACCATCTTGGACTGGACATGGGAATGAACACTGACCATCTTGGACTGGACATGGGAATGAACACTGACCATCTTGGACTGGACATGGGAATGAACACTGACCTGCAGGAACTGACCAGCGTTGGATGTAACACACCAACGCCTCCCACGGTCGCTGATGCAGGGGTAGAGGCCGATCTCATCGAAAAGGTCACCAGGCCAAAGGTTAGCTCTGTGTCTACCAGTATTGACTTGGACGACGATATGTCTGTTTCAGTTGGTGTCGGCAACTGCTCTGTCTACGATACGATCTGTGACCGCTGCACCAATCTGGTCACGTGCAGTGTTGCCGTTGGCCCGACTGATGCTACTTCGTTGACAAGAACGATTGGCACAAATTACAGTGTGATGACCAGAACTGTTGGTGTGGGACACAACACTTTCGCTGATCAATCGGCCAATAGCGACAAGGCGGTGGGCGATCATGACATCCGCGAGCCCATGTGCAACATCTGCGACCGGCCGATCATGAAAACTGTCGCCACGGAGATAGTCGGTCCCGAGACTCGCAGTCATGCAGTCGGGGATGGAGTGGTTACCAGTCAAATCACGGAAGGGGTTGGCGACTGCACGATAACAGACCGTGTCTGTGAGCACTGCGACAATATGACCGTGTCATCTGTAGGCGTCGGAAACTCGGACATTAGCCAATACACCAAGACGCAAGGGGTGCAAGTCGACAGTGCTGGATTTGTACCCATTGAGCTTCCTGTAACGCATTCAGCTGCCACGGGAACCCTAGCCCAGCGACAACAGCGTCATTCGACGGAAATCCAAGCTATCCTTGCATCTAGTTCCGAAGAACCTCACCCAGTGTTCCTTTCACAGGTGCGCTCACCTTACCATGAATCAACCTCGTCATCTGAAGAAGTTTCGGAGTCCTTGGTACAAAGGGAATATGTGGATGTGGAGAAGTCGTCACTGATCGGTCCTCTAGAGGCAGGAAACAACAATCTGTCTAAGATCGGTTACGGAGGAGGGAAAGCTGGAGAATGGCACGGGCAGGAAGGTCAGTTGGTTTTGCTTTTTATTGAAACATTCATTTGAATACAAGTGAGAGGAAGTTGGGCCCAATTCTTACCCTCCAAAAATGATTACAACTTTAGTGTGAAAAGGTTTTAGTACTCAAAAGATTGAAATTTTGGTTTTGTATTGTGGTTAGAAGCCTGAGAAAAAAAGTTTCTTTTTCTTCAAGCTTGGATGTGAGCTTTTTGGAATGTTTAAAATTTCACCTTAAGACACCCTTTGGAGGCCCTTTGTTCAGCAGTAACATGTACCAAATTAGGGGTAACTACCCGGTATCTCAGGTATGTTTTTTGTTAATACACTTTATGTATCTTGTTTGTAATGGGGTAAGCTTTTCAAATCAAAATGCCAAAACTAAAAATGTGGAGATTTTTCTCACAATAAGATCTAAATTGTTCTTGTGACGTCCATTTCTCCTTGCAATATGGTTTTTTCTAAGTGTATAATGTAATAACATAAACAACCTAGCACTTTGTATTACATTAAGTTTTATAAATTTGTCATGATTTCACCAGTACCCTAATTTTATCCAATTTTTGTATTAAAGTAAGGTGCTTTACTTTAAAACAGCATGTTACCATTACAAATTTCTTTGGCCAGGTCACACGACCTCTTCCATGGCAACCTCCACGGAGCAGACCTTTTATCCCTCCGACATCTCGCACCAAGTCACCTCCACAAAGACCGTCCAGTCGACTCGTACGACCACCAGGCTAAGGACAGAGATGCAAAGACCCACCCACGGGCTGGACTTTGAGGACGATGAAGATTTCATGACTGCGGGCTTTGCTAATTTGCACGCAATACTGGCAGGTAAGATGGGAGTACTTTTGCCAATCTGTTTGTTTGTCCTGTTTGTTTGGATGTGTTTTCTTGTTTGTGTTTGCTTGTTTGTTGTTGTTAGTTGAAAGAGTAAGGGCTCTCAACAATTATAATTCTTCCCTATACTGCGCATGCTGTCTTGTTACATCATGTCAAGGGCCCCGCCCCCCAAAAAACGAAACCAATTTTTTTTTAAAGTGGTGTCGCAATAAAGGCAGGCACTGCGTACACCTCCATCTTTTCCTCCAAAAGATTTGGTTAAAGTGGTCAGAAATAGCCTCAGATTGCACCACAGAGCATCTAGAATCCAAATTATTTTTGAGGCACCGAAGTGGGCCCCGAACCCCACGCCGTCATTTTTGGGACCTACTTTTTGGGGGACCAAAGTTTTTTTGTTTGGCCCCCCCCCCCAAATTTTTGCTGTGGATCCGCCCTTGCATCATGTCCGTTTATCAGATTTGTCTAAAACAATTCTGAGGATGCACATTTACTGTGTGTCTCAGCTAAATGATTTCTCCTAAAATCTCATTCTCTTAACAAGTATGGCATACAAATTTTGCCCGTTAGTTCTCCCTGAGAATTTTCATCAGCATTTTTATTAGTGACTCTAATTGTTAATTGGATTGCTCAATATGAGTTTAAATTTGTCCATGAAACTTGGTTTGCCTACAGGAAAACAGTTTTAAATAAATAACAAACATATCATAGGTCCGTAAAATCATGCTCCTCACGCAATACTATGGTTTTTAGATAAAAAAGACATTTTTTTTGTGAATTTAGTTTTCTTCATACACATCAAGCAAATAGTCAACTAGTTCTTAGAATATTAACTTGGCGTTAATAGAGCAACCTAGGTCTAGAACAGATGAGGAATTTAGACTAGGGAGGGGTTTCCCCCCATAAACATTAAGTCGTCTTCCTCTAGATTGAGACACAGGGCTGTACAGGAGGCTCTTAAGCATGTACTCTAAGCCCTTTGCCTTGCTGGCTTTCCGAGTAGATTTTCCTCCGTCTTAACATTGTGTAACTCTATAAATTAGAAAGGAATAACAACAAAATGCCAAATTGCAAACTCATGCTTGTTCATACTTGCTTTACCTTGGTCAAATCGAAGGAAATTGCAAGAAGGTCAGGGGCGGATCGAGGATTTTTTGCAGGGGGGGGGGGGTTCATCAGCAAATCAATGTTGAAATGTAGACAGGTTTCTTTTCTCTGGACACTTGGCCTCCGTAAAATCAATTTGGGGGGGGGGGGGGGACTCGTACCATACTTTCAATGGGGCGATGTTCACTATATTACAGAGTAGTGTACAAATGTGTACAAATACCTCCATACCCGAGCTGGCTCTGTCCAACAGGCGGACATAATTACCAGTTTAATTGTCATAATTTTTTTGGGTGTCAGAGCAGGGAGGGGGGGTTTCACATTATTTTTAATATATTTCAAAGGAAAAAAATTGAGTCAGAGCTTGAACACCCCCCCCCCCTCCCCCGGATCCGCGCCTGAAGGTACATGTAATATCAAGTTCTGAAAGGTCACTGAATTTCTGTGGGTTCCGTCAATTTTAAACATGGAGGTTCACCCTAACTCTAGGGTCAAATTCGTCTGTTCACGCTGAGGGGATTAGATGTTTGAGTAATCACATAAAACAGCTTGAGAGGCTTGGATGAAAGCATCACGGAAGGGTGGGGTTAGGGGGCATGGGGAAGGCTTTGGATCAGTATGATGTGTTGGGGTCATTGGTTGACTGGCCATGTAGCCTGGGTCATCAAACTTTCTTCTGAGTGGTTTGATTAGGCCCAAAAAAAAAGTCTCCGGTTTCTGGTATGCGCTTGCGTCGCTGTAGCCATGGGCGTCGACAAAATTAAAAATGTTTTTCTCAATGTAAGATGATGTCTCAAAACTGCCAAACTCACTGGTTTGACTGGAATCCTGCTGCTGCTTAGTTTTAATGTGTTTTAAGATGGGGTTACGATCGAGTATAAGCTTTATGTGGCCTCTCTGGGCTCCCATACATTTTGCACTAAATCTAGTCGGGCACCATTTGCAGTCATCAGCCGACATTTGAAGAAAAAAAAAGTAAAAAAACAAACAAACACTTTTGGGGCAAGCTCCATACCAGAAACTGAAGACTTTTTTGTTTTGGCCTTATGTAAAAGACACATTATTGTTGCAGAAGTTTGACCCTGTGCATTGGAAGAACATTTTGTAAGGCACAAGATTTTATTTCAGACTTGTGTCTGAAATCGCACATTTTTAATCTTAGAGAGAGACATTTTAAGCGTAGAAAGAAATGTAGGCTACCTTTGAGATATTTTAACATCAAATTTTCAGAGTTTTAAAAAATTGACACTATCATCCATGTTATTTTGTTATGGGCCTTGTCTTTCACAGCACACTCGATACTTCAGTGCACAAAGCTGATATTCATATTTAAAGACGTAGGCCTAAGACTTTAGAAGAAAGATTTAAACCACTTTCTTTCTATTGTTCGGTTATTTCTTACACTTATGAAAAATTAGTTCACAATTTAGAAAAGAAAAGTTTCAACTTCCGGTGATAAATGTGTACAATTATTGATTGAGAATGTGTGATACACAACAACTCCGGATTAACATGAGAAAAAGAGGTAACAGGATAGTGGTGGGAATCGGCTGTGGGATAGTTCTTTAGCCTTTGTCACACACAAAAAATGGTAGGCTTCATTTTTTTTTTCTAGGTCGATTTCGAATATCTGGTTTCTAAAATCAAAACCAAATAGTGAAATTCAAGCTGAATGTTCAAACATCGGGATTTAAATCACACCACTTCAACGGGAACATGATATCTGGATTACTGTACCGGTACCTCAGACGATAAATCGACCTGCAGAAGTGCAAAATTCGTCTCATTTTTCTTTCGGGTTCTACCCCAGTAAACATTACTAAATGCTGGCCCCCTCCTTTGAAGCTACAGTCCATCATTTGCAGCCATCGGAAAAGTAACTGGCGTAATTATTCTTGAAAAACAAACTTGGTTGAAAGATAGTAAGGGAACTAATCTCCCTGTGAAATTGTTCTTTCTGGGAAGCTGTCATTTTGAAGTAATCATCAAAAGAAGGCCTTTCCAACGGTGCGTCTTAAGACGCACCGTAGGAAAATTTAAATTAGTAGTTCGTTTTGATATTCGGCGAAGCGCGCACAAGCATTGGCACAACGCACACGCGCGCCGGTTGCTATAATTCGTCGGATCAGTGCGCGACGTCGCGTAGGCCTATAGCTGCAATTCAAAACAATTCAAAACATGATTCAGTAACTTTTGATTTGAAATTGAGATCCTAAAATGCTGTTTTTGTCGGAATATTCAGCTGAAGCTTAGCTGAAACTTCATCAGGTTAGTTGTTCAGTATCCTTCATTAGATTTTGAACACTTTTGTTGCTTCAAACGAACAAAATGCACAAATTACAAATGATGGACTATATCTTCAAAACAGGGTGAAAGGGATTATAAGAATGAACGGATAGGATAAGGATCTGTAGCCATATTTGTGTCTCTGACCAGATGTTTGACTGAATGACTCACTGTGTACAGGAGGATGCAGGACTAAGCGACAGTTAAACAAGCGTGTTGTTGGCGGTGAGCCACTGACGCAATCCCTGTCTGACCAATCAGTCATCTTGAGTTATATCTTTTACTCAGTTTGTGTGCTTTCCTTCGTGATAGATAATGCGTAACCTGATGTGACTGTACGTAAACACAGTCAGGGTTTTAAAGACGTCCTGGCCTACACCGCATTATGGAGAAGTTTTTTTTATTGTTAGGCAAATGAGAACCGAGTTACGGAGACTTTCTGCTGTCCCCATAGCATTTCGGTCCCCACAAATACCTTGTACAGACGAGTGTAAGTCCCCACAACTACGGAACAAGACTGTATTTGCTGATGACCAAATTTTGAGGAATTTCCTAAAATCTGAGTGGTAAAAAGTAAATTGATAGATATCAGGAAAATGCATTGTGTTGTTTCCTATCCGTGTAGGATACAAGATACCCAGTATATAGTTAGTGTTTTCCTTTTTCTGTTTTTCACCACAGCTACATTAGTGTTGTCTTAAAAAGTCAAAGAAGCGTGTACACATCATTTGCAATAAGCAAATAATAATGTTTGTGTATGAACATGTACATTTATCCGAGCCGTCACTCTGTCTTGTTGCTTGTACAGTTTACATGTACCTTCAAATTTTTTAGGGATCAAGAACGTTGACTCACCAACTAGCACGGTAATCACTTTGAAAACCTCCTGCTTAACAGCGATTTGAAATGAGATGACGTTTTCCTCGCCATGCTCAGTGACCGTTCTCAAACTTGATTATGGGAGCCTATCACTCGGGCCACATTGTTACCACATGTGACACCGGCCTAATCCAATCCCTTGAATGTCAGCGACGACTTTTCTTGGATTTCCGTTCGCGTCCTGCTCTCGCTAATAGATGATGTCACTGACCATACACTAATGGTCTTCCTGTTTCGCGGATCAAAACAAAACCCCCTTCCTGGGTTGCCGTGTTTGAAAATTGAAGAATGAATCATAGATTTAACAAAGCGACCGTGCGTGCATGCACACTTTATACAAGGGGATATTTTTTGCTTCAAGATGGCTGCCCTGAATAAATGTTCTATGGGCCTGTTTGTTGCCGAGGTGACCGAGATGATACCATTGGGTCCAATCACTGTTTATATTTCAGGGGCTAGTCCACAGTCTAGGGAGGGGTCGATGGCGATGGAAGCTTCCATTCGGGAGAGGGAGGATCAGCGCAGACCTGGGATGAAGGACACAACTTTGAGACATCGGTGAGGACCTGTACTTGGCATGAAGATTTACTAAATTTTCCACGTTGAAAAATTACCCCTCACTTGGTCGGCCTTTTTGTGCAACTTTACGTTATGTATATACCGGTACATCTGTAACCCAGCACCCAAACTTGTGCTGTAGTGGATAATTCAAGAATTATTCAATTTTCTGACAATTGAAATTGTGGAATTTGCATTGTTTGTGTGCTTTACATGTAATTTCTGTTGTGTTGGCTGTAACAAAAGCATTTCTTAACTTGCAAATTCAGCTAGGTTGAAGGACTGAGGGTTACATAAATAAACTGCACTGTGTATGAAATTAATATCCTAAAGTGTTCAGAGGTAGATGCACGTGTGCTTGGAAATTGTGTGCAAATCCTTGTCTAACAGGGTTATGATTGCCTTTGTCTTCTTTTTCTGAACTTTTTTCAAGGGGAGGGGGCCTTGAAGACCTTGAATGACAAAGAATGGACTCACAACTTGTACTTTATTCTGTGTTTCTGCTTTATTTTGTCCTCACAGGGTTGTGAGTTCCAGCGAGGACTCATCCGACTCGGAATCAGACACAAGCACAGAGAGCTCCACGTCTGAGACCACATCCACGTCGGTAGAAGGTGGCTCCTACGACGGACAAGTTGTCAAGCTGGTCAAGAAGCGGCATGACAGGAAGAGTAAAAAGAACGGCACGGGAAAGACGAGGTCGCAGGACAGACCCAGGTGAAGACAAGGGTTCAAAGCTGATTAAATTGTTTGTTCTCACTTCATCCTTTTTTTATATCAAAACCTGTGGTGACTTTCATCACAAATGAATCACAAGACTGAGACAAGATAAGTTTGCGGTAGCACCATGTGAATAAATCCCTCATTCTCCTGACGACAGGCAGAGCATACTGTTCTAAATGTTGAGTCCCTCCGGTTCTTTTCAGAACCACACATACTCACATAAAAGAGATTAATTCACATGGTGCTGCCGCAAACTAATCTTGTCTTAGTATCTTTCCACCATGCAAACCTTCAAATCTCATCGAATCACAAGACATATCTCAAATCAGTCACAAAGAAAATCACAAGTAACAACAGGGGATTGACAATGACAAAGGAATGTCTTTGGCTTAGATGTTGTGAAAAGTTGGCTACTTGACTTGATACTGGGTGACTTTTGATCAGGGATGTAGTCCAGTCCATCACAAGTCCCTGCAAGTCCATCCCAAGACCTCCAGTCCCAATTCAAATCAGAAGCTGTTCATTTGAGCCTTGACAAAGGAATTCCTTAGTCTATGGAAGATCCCCTTGCACAGCAAGGGTCTATGATATGTGAGCAGATTCAGCGATTAATGATGCAAAACAAGTCTGCGTCTTGACCTCGAGATTCTGACCATTCAGCGGGTGCCTTCTACTGGGTCCTCTGTAAGCCGTTGTATTACAGAAACATGGCATCTAAATTGACCAATCAACAGCTTAGTCCACATTTCTGATTGAAAGGACGTCACAGCCTCTAAAGACCACTCCAATTGGCTGGCATGCGGGGTCGCATAAGATTTACATGGTAGGATATATCAGACGTTCAATAATGGCTTAATTTGCCCATGTGAATGTCTGATCTTCAAACTAGGTAAATGGACTTGTGATTGAATTGTTAGTGGGCTTTTGATGGACTCAACTACACCCTGCTTTTGATTGGCTTGAGATGAAGTATGTAGGTCTGACTGTAACCCTACAAGCATCAGTTGCGTGGAGACTAACCTTCAAGTGACCTGAGAATTCAATAAAAAGTCCAGTCAACAGAGCACGAGATTGACTCTTTCAATATCATACTCCGGTAGTCTCGGTGATAAGTTGCACACCTTTAGGTCCTGCAATTAGGATTTCCTTGGATTAGTACACGTCAAATTTGAAAGGTGTTTTACATGAATGTGTTTTGCTTCGTACAAAAACTGATGATGTTGTTCTGTCATAAATCAATGTCACTGACAGTTTGTGAAGTTGGGGGGGGGGGGTGTTCTGGGCTTAGAAGGTGAAGTCTCATAGAAGACATTGAAACATTAACGGACTCGCGCATAGAGGACATGAGTGCTGTTGTTTGTGTAGGAAGGGACTGAGAATGCAGTCCACATGTTGGCTTGGCGGTGTTTTGATCCAGGTCGCCGTTTAGGAAGCTATGGAAAATACAAATAAATCACCTTCAATTAGCGCTCAATGTGACCCAAATCCGACGACCTGGCCATGTTGGAAGTGAACACCTTGTCACTCTCAAATTCTGACATCCATTCACCACATTTTGCGAAACAACACAAAACAACAACATTGGGCATTTTTTTTTAGGTGGCTAAGTTCCAATCCAGACAATATGTCTGACACATTGTTTCTAGACATTATAACTTTGTTTTAATACATTGTCTTTTCAAGCTTATTTTGTTTGTTTCCATGAATAACACCACTCAAAATCCAGAGACTGATGTTCAAAACCTAACCCATTTAAGTTTCAGCTCAGAGGATATTACACTTTTCAAGAAAACAGCAAAAGAAATGCACAACCTTTTGATCACAAAAACCACAATTTTGTCAATAGAACGTTATATTTCCTACTTTTCTTGATTTCTTTTGAATGACAGCAAGTCAGACAGATTAATTTCAGGGGGTGTTTAGTACCAGAATGATCTTGTATCCACGTAAGCTGTCTGATAATGATTTGGTGGGTTACTTTTGGGATAAATGCAAATGATACTATATGCCTTTGAATGAGTGTTAAATGCTTTCAAAGCAAGCTAAAACACAAATAGAATTTCCCCAATAGACGTTAGAAAAAAGGTAAACTGCCGTGAAATGTCTGCATGTGTCGGGCAATATCTCACATCGGGCAGTATCTCAATGCTGCATTTCTTTCTGAATCTCACAACAGATACACCATGAGCACTGAGATGACCAAAGCCTGCAACGCGCTGGGCAAACTGCTGGAGATGTCTGGCGATAGTAACGCTAAGGACATGGTAAGACATGGGGCCTTTATGGATACATCAGGGTAACAGGTGTCCCTAGACTTCTGTCTTGTTTTCCCCTACCTGCTGCAGCAAGAATGATCAAAGGGGAAAATGGTTGCCTACATGTATGTAGATAAAACATTACTAGAATCCTACAACTGTTTTAAAAATTACATTGAAACAACAACCTGTAGCCGTATGAAGGGCAGGACAGGAGGAGTAAGTGCCACATTAGGTCACATTCACAATAATTTTTGTTGGTTATTTGCAAAACTGCAAAAGAAGTTCATTAAGAAACCAGGGGGGAGATTTGTCAGGATTTTTCCTGATTTTAGGATTTTTTTGTCAGGATTTTTAAAGACGCTTTTTTGAAATCAGGATTTCTTGAGGTTTTACTGTAAAAACTTGTTTACCTATGAAAGTTTTTATAGAACAAATAAATGGGTATTTTAAGGGTGGCTTTAGGCAAATAAAAACATACCAGTACATCATAGACCCTTTGTTGCTATGGGCCCTTGGCAACCATCAAGCCCTCTGCCAATTATTTCATGGATTTTTTGTCATCCCCAAATCTCACCCCTAAGAAAGTTACTACATTTTTGTTTTAAATTTGAAAATATTTCTGTGAGGGGATAGTTAATAGAGAGAAGGAGCGGTCTGACTTTATTAAGCCACAACTGTTTGAATGGAAAAATTGTTAATTTTTTCTGTTACCCAGTCAACCTGCATGGCAACCATCGCCAAGGAGTGGTTCCGCGTGACAAGCCAGAAGACATCAGAGCCCCTGGAAGTGGAGGACATGCTGACCTCCCTCTCTGGAATGGACAAGGCCGTTCTGGAGAAGATCATCAACACAGCTGATGCCAATGTAAGCCTGATCTATTATCTGTAACGGGGGAGTTCTAGTCTAGTTTCTGAGTGTGGTTGCAGGCTGTTTTCAAGAAATCAAACTTTTGTTTTGCAGTTAGATGTTGATTGCTTTGTAATGCAGCTTCTTAGTAATATGGAAGTGATAATAGGTTTTTTTTTGTAAATTTGGTTTCAAGAAATCTCAGGAATTGATTTTTGCTAATTTTGAAAGTCTTGAAACTTTTTAGTGTTTTGATTGTATACTGGCTTTTGTAAAAACTGCTCATTGAAAAAAAAAGTCTATTTTATTTTTTTGTTTTTAACCCAATCGAATACAGGGCAACACAGCGCTTCACTACTCCATCTCCCACGGCAACTTTGACGTCGTCAATCTCCTCCTTGACTCCCACGTCTGCGACGCAGACCGGTCAAACCGTGCCGGCTACACGGCCATCATGCTGGCTTCCTTAGCCGAGATGCAGAGCGAGAAACAGAGACAGTCGCTGGCCAAGCTGTTTCACCTGGGCAACGTGAACGTCCGGGCAACACAGGTGAGCAAAACAAGAATAAGATGTCTTAGCACCAATTTTTTTTTTCAATTTGTCCAATTTGGTGAGCAGTAAGCAGAACAAAGAGCATACTGTTAACTGCATGAATTTTCTTGAGTAGAAGTCCGTATGCAGGAACAAGCGCCAGCACATCTAGTTCAATTTTTCTTCTGCAGTTTATGCAATTTTTCAGCAAATCATCAAGAAGTACCATGAAATTTGGCACTTGGATTAGGGCTATACTGAATATTCAAATATTCGACCTTCAACTGAATATTCGAGTAGCTTTTTGCTGCTTTGATTATTCAAAACACAAAGCTACGCATATACACACATGACTGTGATGTTACTTTATCATAAAGTTGCGGCGTTTTATTGTCGGGTGCCAATTTTTTTTGTCGACGGTAACTTTTTGTTGACGACAGTTCATTGTTTCAATCCATTTAGCAGGTTAAAGCCCTTGATAGTTATAAAATACCTACTACAAAACACTCCATATCGGTCGCTTCACGCAGATTTTAACTGGCGCTCTGCATGCAACTTTTGACCGGCGCGGCACGTAGTTGCAGCTTGCAGTTTTGAATATCCGATTATTCGGTCAAACACGGTTTCGAGTAATCGAATACTAAATTATTCGAAAATGGACAGCCCTAACCTGGATGTCGTTACATGGTTTAAAGTCACTGCGAGAAGTAAGAGTACAAATAGAGCCATTACAAATATGCTAGTTACTGATATAAGATTTGAGGCTTTGCATGGTGGGGTATCGGTATCGTTTCAGTTTGCGGTAACACCATGTGGTAATAACTACTGCTTAGAAGATATTTAGTTCTGAAAAGAACTTGTCCTGCTTATAATCAACTTTGCTAAGTAGTTTTTTGTTCTGATAAGAACAGTCCTGCTGTAAGTTCTAAACGAACTTGTCTTTGGTCTCAAAGAGACCAAAGACAAGTTCGAACTGTAAGTTCTAAACGAACTTGTCTTTGGTCTCAAAGAGACCAAAGACAAGTTCAAACTTACAGCAGGACTGTTCTTATCAGAACAGAAAACTACTTAGCAAAGTTGATAATAAGCAGGACAAGTTCTTTTCAGAACTAATATCTTCTAAGCAGTAGTTATTACCACATGGTGTTACCGCAAACCGAAACGATAATGCTAGTTCCTTTTGCAAAAGTGGGTTGTCAGTCAAAAAAAGTTGAAATAAAATAGGATAACTTGTGAAAAGATTGAAAGTCTGTAAGAATGGATTTCAGGCAGAAACAGCTGTCATGTTTATATGAGAAACTGTTAATATATTGGTATCTAATGCTCACTGTGCTAAAAACCACTCTGTGTTTGTTTCTTGATAGGCTGGTCAAACAGCCTTGATGTTAGCTGTGAGTCATGGCAGACTTGACATGGTCAAGTTGCTCCTTGATGCAGGGGCAGATGTCAACATCCAAGATGAGGTCAGTCAAATTAAAACAGATTTTTTTCCAAAGTGAATAGTCTCTGTGATAAAGTTTTGAAGGACCCATGCAATGTAATTTGTTTAATGCAATCCTTGAAAATGCACCTTTTTGTCCCTATAAACCTTATTTTCAATTTTCATTTTGCTATTTGAAGGGTATTTTGATGCTTTTTTTTAATGCTAATGTAAATTTGCATATTCATGAGCAAAACTGTTATGTCATTCAGGGCAGAAACCTCATCAATGTTACAGCTATTTCGGCCCCCCAAAAGGTGCTAGAATTTTGGACTTTTTTCTGTTATCAATTTCCTTTTTTTTGAGAATCGTTGTTGTGTAAATTAAATACATGGCAGTAAGCCAATGAGCAACCCTTTCTCACAAATGTTTTTAATGAGCAAATTTTTCGGTTCACAGTTTGAACAGACACCCCCTAAACTGAACAGTGTCTTCCTGAAATGACATCACAGCAACAGCGCCCTCAGTTGTCTGGAAAAGAATGGAAAATGTTAAAATGTTGAAAGCATGCTAATCACTGCATATGTTTTGTGTCGGTTCATGTGCACAGGATGGGTCGACGGCTTTGATGTGCGCCAGTGAACATGGGCACCAGGAGATCGTCAAGTGCCTCCTGGCACATCCACAGTGCGACCCCACGCTTCTGGATAATGTGAGTTAATCTCCTGTTTATCAGCATTGTGAGACTGTTGCGTTAAATAACAAGCGTTTCTGTTGTGTATTGTTTTGAGGTGGTAAATTTTATCACAGGGAACGCATAGGCTGGATTTTGTATACATGGGATAGGCAATCAAGGGCTATTTCTAAAACATTGGTTCTTGTCACTGGTTTAACCCTAACCTTCCCAAATCCTCCAAAAACCTCTTTGCAAAGTGGAGGATTGTGCAGGATTGAGGCTATATGGCAAAAGTGTGTGGCTGATTGCAGAGGATGCACTGCGTCAAGGTCTTAGGTCGGACCTTGTGTTGTTTATGCTCAGCCGTGTATAAATTTTGGCCTATGTTATACTTGAAATCCTCCGCACTGCTCCAGGATGTCACTGGCTCTGCCTCAACATATTAACACTGATTGCTGGAGGATTTTGCAGGACTGAGGCAGTGGTCACCCCTCCAAGGACCACATTCAAGAAATAACAGATGATTTTGGAGGATTGAGGCTGTATGCTATTTTTACATGGAGGCAGTTGGAGGATTTTGCAGGATTGAGGTTACATCCCGGCAAAAATGCCTAGGGAGTTAGGGTGAATCTCAGGCTGCAATAGCACTCAAAAGAAAACCCAAGTTTGCTAGAAACTTAACGGAATCGTCAAAACCCACCATAGTGAAGAAGCTAATAGCTCATATATTTTTTTTTTCAGTTCAACTTTCAAGGGTCTTGAAGCCCTATGTAAAGTAATATTGGCTGGGCTCTACCTCTGGGCTCTGGGATCTAAGATATTTCGGTAAATGATATGACTTAATGCAGACGCTGTAGCCGTGAATTATAGAATTTTGATATTCCTGCACAATATCAATATTTTTTTATTTTTTTTTCATCTCAGGATGGTAGCAGTGCCTTCTCAATCGCCATGGAGGCAGGCCATAAGAACATCGGTGTGCTCCTGTACGCCCAGCTCAACTTTGCCAAGCAGACCGGAAGCCCGGTAAGTTATTGTGTGTCAAAAAAAATGTGTTCAGTTTTTAAAGCTTTGACATCGTCAAGTCGAAAGTAGCCTTCGTTACTTCAGCCATCATTGTTGTATCACTCTTTGTACCTGTTCTCATGCTGCAGGATTTTTTCTACAAATGAAAATGTTTATTTATTTATTTATGTAAGGCCAATAGAATAAACGTGAGCATTAGGGCAAAACCAACCTCATATTTAATTCTAGCCAGTGTCAAACTACCATTCATGTAGGAATATACAATTTGATTGGCTACTCTCTTATTTATTAAGGCTACTTTGTATATGGTATATTGAACATTAAAACTGATAAATTCCTCTTTTTTTCCTTCTCCAAAACAGAAACGAAGAGCTCAAAGTGCTTCCCCTAGGTAAGATATTGATCCTTGATGATTAAGTCAGTAATTATTAATTGAGTCAGTGGACACCATAAATAATTGTTATTTCAGCATGTTTAATTGAATTCGTGTAATTTATGTTACCTTGCGTTGTAACTTAGCATGCAAAAAAAAAAAAAAACAATCGCAATAACAGCATGAAACAAAAGTGACTTATTAAGCAGCCAACAAAAGTAGAAATTTGTCTTCAGCTGTTTGCAGCTTTAACCAGTTTGAACTGCTGTTAAATTTCAGTTGCAGTGATTTTTTTTAAAAATGTGTTGTAACTTGCATGTGTTGGTTCCCCGAACAGATTTCCAGCCTATACCTATAGCTTTATAAAGTGAGTTTGTTTTATATGATTTTGATCTTCATGTTTACATGTTCATCACTAATCCTACATTACATACATGTACATGTGCATACTTTTATTTTGGTGGCAGTTTTTATTAAATGGACAGTCATAACATTGCAGTAGCCATTTTGAGTTGGGAAGTTTGTCCATTTGTGGGAATGTTGTGCAGCAGCCAGTATGGGCTTTTATGAGTTGGCACACAAGCTGGTTTAAAGATATAGTCCATCATTTGTAATTTGTGCATTTTGTTTGTTTGAAGCAACAAAAGTGCTCAAAATCAAATGAAGGATACTGAACAACTAACCTGATGAAGTTTCAGCTAAGTTTCAGCTGTATATTCCGAGAAAAACAGCATTCTAGGATCTCAATTTCAAATCAAAAGTTACTGAATCATGTTTTGAATTGCAGGTAAACGCGACGTCGCGCACTGATCCGACGAATTATAGCAACCGCGTGTGCGTCGTGCCAATGCTAGCGCGCGCTTCGCCGAATAACAAAACGAACTACTAATTTAAATTTTCCTACGGTGCGTCTTAAGACGCACCATTGGAAAAGCCTTCTTTCGTTGATTACTTCAAAATGACAGCTTGCCAGAAAGAATAATTTCACAGGGAGTTTAGTCCCGTTACTATCTTTCAACCAAGTTTGTTTTTCAACAATAATTACGCCAGTTACTTTTCGGATGGCTGCAAATGATGGACTATAGCTTTAAGTGATGAACCCATTAACACTTGTATTACACAGTGTTATATTGTACTTATTTCTTGATGCATCGATAAACATATACAGTGTAGGCTTGGACGGTATTCCGGTATTACCGGATAGTCAAGGTTTTTTTTAATAACCGACTAACACCGACTAATGATTCATGAATACCGAAACACCGGTGAAGTCGGTATGGAATTTCAATACCGCGGTATTCTTCCTTTGTGTTCAGAATCTTCGCAAAAGTCTTTCAAACAGAAAGACAAGCAACCTCTTTGACATGTTTGATTCCATTCTTTGTGGTTTCAGGCATCCAGTTTCATGTCTGCATTGTCAATTACCGTTGACAGATTGAACACAATTGTCAAGCTCGACTAGAAAACCTGATACTTCGGCAGCTGCAATACCACAAAGGCCTTTGAAGTTCTGCTAACGCCGCCGTGTTTGCGGTTTTCTTTGTGTGTAAAGTGTCTCCGCTGAAAGTTCAAACAATGTTTTACACATGGAATTTTTGACGGTCGTGACAAAAACTGGTCGTCTTAATTGTTTCTCCGTGGTTGTTTCAGAGAAATCTTACATCATCATGCGTAATTTTTGCCACAACATGGTTCCCAAGAATATCAGCAACAAGAACAAAAACCTTGTCAATCTTGGTTATATGACTGCCAAAACTTGCAGGCTTCAGTCTAGCGCTATATGCGTGCGAGATGCACGTGCAAAGGGAAGGGACGCCTGGATTCACATGCGATGCTGAGCCCGATCCGGGGAAAATGAGAAACAAATATTTCAAGGAAAGCGCAATATCAAAGCCATCATGATGTCTCATCATGGGCCTTGGGAATAAATGTACAATCAAGCAGTGTCGGCACCGACGCGCAAAAGGAAAACAAATCTGGACTCGCCTGAATATACGAGGCAGCGAGTGTGAACCATCCGGGAAAATTAAGAAAAAAAAATACTTCAACGAATGATTTCTCAACGTGGGTAAAAAATAGTGTTTATGTGCGTCATGTGCGTGGTGCGTGGCCGTACATGCCAGTGCATAATACGCATACACGTGGTCCCACACTGGTTCCGCACAGAGAGAGTCGGAACACGTGCTTTTTCCCACCCACTGCATTTATCGATCTAAAGCCGTGTCCGCACTCGCCTTTTTTTGGAAGGTTTTACCGAGACGATGGTGAGATGAAAAATGGTCAAACACCCTTTTAAAAGAATCTGATTGACCACCTAAATCGACGCTCGGAACATTTTTTTTTCATTCATGTTTCGGTTCGATTGGTCCGTTAGTTATTCATCGGTACCAACGTTCAAAGGGAAGGGACTCGCCTGAGTATGCCGAGTCATCTAGATAAAAATCCAGAAAAGAAAATACTCCAAAAGAAAGCGTAATACAAGAACCATGATTTCTCACCGTGGGAAAACCCCCCGTAATGCCCGCACGATCACACGTAAAGCTACGCCCGTCCTGCTGGGCCCACAAGCACAATTGCACGTGCTTTTTCCCACGCACTGTGTAGATCAAGCTGATTGGCCATCTAAAACGGCGCTCGAAACATTTTCCATTCAGGTTTTGGAATGATTGGTCCGTTCGTTATGAAGGTCGCGGCACCGACAACTTCATATTACAGCGTCCACAATTGCGCATGCGTAATATTGTGATGTTTACTATTATCAATCACGGACCGATCACGTGAGAAGGAGTAAGATTTTTTTTGTAGGAGTCAGATTTTCACATGACACCGGCGAAGCACGTAAGGAGTCGCTGGTGGCCGGCATAAATTGCATGAGCCTTTTAAGTCACTCACAATGGATACCAACTGAAAAGCATTGGTTCGCAAGGATCTTGGGATCGTCGTGTGGTCGGCCTCTGGCGCTGGCATCGGTCGACGATCTGCATTATTTTTTAGTGGACCTTGTCAAGTCAATGACTTGCAAATTCGAAAAATGCAAAACCACAAAAAGTAAGCTTCCCCTGTTTAATAATCTGTTACAATGATATGTTGTTTTTACAAACAAATGGACTGATAATGAAAGTTTGAAACCAAGACACTTTTAGTGTAGGACTAGGAGATTTGCGGCGTGAAGCATTTGCGTGATTTATGCTGCGCCGGCTGCTTATCAACTCGGCATGTGGTGTGGTGGTATAATGATGTAACTAATACCCCACTTAACATAATACCGCGGTTTTAGTGAATACCGCGGTTTTTTTGTCACTGGATACCGCGGTATAGTAAATGCAATACCGTCCCAAGCCTAATACAGTGATTTAGTGTAAAGGCCAGTTCATACTCAGTGCAAAAGTGAATGAAAATGCCAATTTGTGACGTCCCGGGCAAGTATTCGCACTGTGAATTCGCAAAAGTTGAACTCATTTCAAGTCCGGCGAATTTCGCAGCGAAAATTTCCTGAGATTGTATTTGCTTCGCATTCGTATCATGCGAAGGATAAACCGGCCTTTACAAGGGGTTACAGGCAGGGCTCTTTTGAGGCCGTATTCTAGGAATAAATGAGATACTATTTCCTGCTTTTGAAGTCAACATTTCTAACTAACTGTGCTCTAAACTCTTGAGTCTTGTGCTTGGGCGTGGCTTGAATTTAAGGACACCGTGTTGTGGATGTGTTACAGAAAGCAGCAAACAATTGCCGCCACTCAGCATTGACTAGTTATTATTTGCAGACCTTGGTCTGGCATTCAAAGCGCAATCAAAGCTGTGATTGGTTGAAAACATCAAGGGGCGTGGCTTAATTAATGGATTGGTTGTAGATAGTTTTAGCTGCTGGGTCATTAGGCAGTGTACATGTATATGTACTTGATAGTTAAATGTAATATGTACATATTCCACAGATTGCATGACAGTCTTTTACGTCACTATAAGAGTCAGGGCTTTGGCATGCATTGTTGTTCTCCACAACAATAAAGCCTTTGTTGTCAAGTCATGTCACTGTCTTCTCAAGCTTCAATGACAACTTCTGTTTTCTTTGATGTCTGCCCCCCAAACTCACTCAACTGAGAATACCGTGGGCGGTGCCTTTTTACACATCACAGAACAATCAGTTCATGCTTGAAAGCTAGAATTGTGCGTCTGTGAATATTATCATTCATCATTTTTGTTCCCCAAAAAAAGGAGTACAGAATATGTATCATCGCGAGGATGTACATGTACTTTCATGTCATGACACATGACTTTCATGTGCACAATGTACAAGAATCATGAATTTCGAGCCCAACTGTGTTAAAGATCAAACTGATGAGACAAACCGTGAACGCACAACTAATCAGTCTGGTAGCCGGTGATGACTGGGTGCAGCTGCTGCATGCTGTTAGACTGCTACTGAGTCAGTTGACAAGTCCAAGATGGCTGCTGCACGTTGAACAATTCCTTTACGATCAGTTCCAGTTCATAGTATCTCAAACAATAATGCCTGACCATTGTGAACAAAAATTGACATCATTCATTAAGCATGGAATGTGGGTCATACTGTGTTGCTCATTAATATTCATTAACTTCACTAATATGCAAATTAACCTACTGTTTCCCCCTTTGATAACCCCTTTTTTATGCTGTCCTATTTCCACCTATAATTAGTCTTGGATTCAAAGGATCAGGATGTTAGAGATACGGTACATTGTACAGGTTTGTAGAAGAATAACCGGTTGTGGTTTTTCACTCTTTACTGCACATTTTCTATTCATCATTTGCACACTGCGTCCTGACCACCTTTCCTTCACACTTCATGTTCTCTCCTGTTCTGCCTTGTGTCAGTGTTGGACTGTAAAGGATGTAATTTTCACTGTAAAGACGTGGGTTTGCCGTTTGGCTCCTGTGTGTGCCTTGAAAGTACTAAATTATTTTCTAAAGAGACAAACCCTAGGGTGCTTTACAAATCCGTCCCTATGTGCAACTTCCCATCTTGATCTTAGCTCCCTAACCCTTTCCCCCTCCCCCCACCCCAAAAAAAATGAAATCGACTTATTCAACAGAGTATTGTATGAGGAATTATGTTTGACTTTGTGTATTCTTGATCAGAAGTTTGCCTACAATTAAAAAAATATGGACAAATTTTAAAGGATTGTTTTGGATTGTTTGCTTATCCTATTTCAAAGGTCTGGTTGGAAGGAAACTAACCTAATATCTCACCCTTCCTGAGAAAACAAAAAAAAACTTGCTTGTTTACATCAGACGCTGGGGGACATTTTGTGGCCCAAGCATACGTTTTCCAGCTTGTCCATTCAATGTACGCTGCACGTTGTGTGTTTTTCACATAATACACACGGCACCAATACACCAATGTTGTGTCTTACATCTGCAGAATGCAATGCACTGAATGCGGCAGGATTCACACCTAGCACTCAACAGCTCGATTTTTGAGAGTCAAAACTGTGACCCCCGAAATCCGTCCCCGCATAGCTCTCGCAAGATATCACAAAAACGCCCAGTTTTTAAAGGATGGTTGTGTGGACATTTATATCCTACTTTTAAATGCTCTTTCAAATGAATATACTTTCGTTTCAATGCGTTCTGTAGCCCAATTGGGTGCTTTCCAGGACGTAATGTATGGAGTGGTGTCTCTGCCAGTTTCTAACCCACAAAATATAATAAATGCTTTGCACTTGTAGTGGCATTTTGCACAATTAAATAGTGGCCTTAAAATGAATATTTTATTCATTCCAGGTTGTGTGTTCATTTAATTTAGCATGGTAGACTCTGAGAACAATAACAGCTGCCTGTTTCCATGGCAACAGGTCTTCTCAATACCCTGACCAAATTGTGGGCTTTTTGTGTTGGTCAAGAGTCAAAGGGACGTTCGGTGTTGTTGAATTTGAAGGATAGCTCAAGTGTTATTCATGCAGCAGAAATATCAGTTTTCTTTCAAGTTTCTGCCATTTAAAAAAAAAATCTTCTCCATTATTTTCAGTTTGGGTTCTTGTAGAGAATTCTGTCAATCAAACTGTTTTGTAATGATTTTGGATTTCTCCAGTGTGGCATGGCGGGTTGTTTTGATGTGACTTTTAACCCTAACACTTTGGGAATTTTTGTGCTCAAGTTTCCTGAATCCTCTGAAATCCAACAATCCAACATGGCACGTTCTATCTACTTGGAACTGAAGTTACACTTTATCTCAGGCTGATGAAAAGTCAGAGTGGTTATGTTGTACTGCCAACATCTATCAGAAATACTGCAGAATCAGATCTTGGAATTTGGTGGATGAAAGGGTTGCAAGGGGTAAGCCACAAGATGGTGTAAACTGCCGCAACAGTTTGTGTTTGCTATATGTGGTGCATACATAAATCACCTGTTTTAATGATAATAATTGGTATTAAATCTTCTTTGTGCAGCCTGTCAAGGAGTGCCGTTTCCCCAGGGCCTGTCTCACCCAGTCCGTCACCCAGTCCGTCAATCTCCAGCATCTCCCCGTGCCCCTCCCCGTCCCTGTCCACCGCCAGTTCCCTCAGCGACCTCAGCCACCAGTCTGGTGCCTCCCAGGCCTCCAGCCGCAGCCGGTCGGTCAGCCCCAACTCCCGCATCCCCAAGTTCCGTCATTTCACCCAGGCCCGCCCCTCGCACCTCAGCATGTCTTCCTCTGCGCTTCACCGGACCGGGGGCGCTGCCACCGCCGACAAGACCCCCTCCCCCAGGGGGAGCTTGCCCTCGCTGCGTTCGTCAGGCCGCGGGGCCAAGACAGGGATCAAGAGCCCTAGCCAGCGACTCACCGGATCTGTGACAGGATCCCAGAGACCGTCCAGCATCGGAAACAAACAGCAGGCCAGTCCCACGAAAAAAGTAGGGACTTTGAAGACTGCCAAATCGCTGGAGAAATTTTCAACCATGTGAAGAGAGAGAAACTCGCATTCATATTTGGAAATCTCACTTCTATCTTCTTAACCCAAAATGTACTCAAATAACATTTTTTAATCCCAGTGTAGAATTCAAAATTTCGGGATCTGAAAACTTAAATGATAACTAGCTGTGCCTTACTAATGATTGAAGGAACCCACAGCAGAAAACAATTTGAAACTGTATTTTCATAACGACCCTTATATTTGACATCATTTTTACCTGGTAACTTGTCAGAAATTAAAAGTTCAATAAATTCCTACATTCAACCACCATTCGATACTTAGAATGAACAAAATGGGCTTCCGTCTGTTATGGTAGGTTTCTGATCACCCACTTCCATTTTATACAATTTTTATAGCGAGTCCAGAATTGACTTTTTTGAAAATTCATGTCTCTTTTATTATTGCAAATATACATTTTAATAAGACGCGAGACATTTTTAACTAAATAAAACAAACAGTTGCTGGCCCTTTTAAATCCTACTTTGAAACATTTTGACCTTGACATCTTTTTAAAAAGAAATGGTTGAGAAGACAACTGAAAATAAGCGCGAAGTTCGGCAAACGTATAAGGCACTGGGACGATGTATGTTTTTTTTATGGTTTGTTTAGCATGCAAAATTATTTATTGTCGTTCATGTTTTGAATGGTTTCTGGAGAGTTTTATACATTGTACAGTTTGTGAGTATGTGTAAATAGGTTCATTTTGAGTATTGGAACGGTTTTCAGATTTGACACGGTCGTATATGTTTTTAAAACAAATGCTCTCATTTTAATTAAAATGTCTATTCACTAGTGCAAATATTTTAAGCAGGTTTTAAAAAGGACTGTTCATTGTCTAGACGTGTCACCTGTGGCACGGTTGCCTGTAGTGATAAGTTTTGCTATAGAGAAGTAGTGGTTCCGGACCAATATGGCTGCCGCTGCAAGGACAGTTTTGCATGCACTCACCTACATGCTGTAACTCCTGCTGGAAGTGTTGACTGGGAAAAATAGGCAGGATAATAAGTATAAAGTTGGAATGTTCTCACATTGAGAGGTAAGCTAAATGCAAATTGGAATGCACATTTCAGCATTGCAGAAACTATTTTACAGTGGCTCTTGAGTTTAATTAAAATAATCTTGCTCACATCAAACAAAATATTACAGGCTAGTTGTCTGTTGCCTGACATACACCGTAAAGTTACAAAAATCCTTGCCCGTGTGTTTTGATGTACATTTTTCTGTAATTCGTGCTCCTAAGAAACAATAAATTTGAAACAAATCAGGCTTAATTTACCATCGAATCAATCCCAGACAGATTCTCCCCAAAACGCTTCTGTGAATTGCATGATGAAGTTCCAATTTGAAATAGTTTTGAGGCAAATTTGGTCTGAACTGAGCAAGAGATGACAATTTTACATGTATGTTTTTTTTTAAATGTGTAAATTGGCATGTTTTTAAGAAATCATTCAAAGATTGGGAGATCCTTTAGTGCTCTTGCCTTGTAGATTTGTATATGACCGAATTTGAGTTTGAAGTCAGATTTTAAAATGGCAATTTTCTTGGCAGATACTTAAGAAATTATTCTCAATTGTGCGTTTCTGCTTAATTGTCCTATTGATCTAAGAGCTGATTAAATCTTGTTAGATGTTGGCTTTCGTGTACATGTATGTAGTTTTGACTACCGGTAGTTTGCCGGTAGTTAGAGATGATACTCGAGTAAGTTTTCATGGTAGTAAATTGCATAAATGCACTTAATGTTTGCTAAAATGTTTTATTCCCAGAATTATACATTACATAATTATCATATGTTTTCTGTGAGTTCAAAACTGACGTTGCATGGTTTTTCATAGAGACTTTATTTGAAGTTCATATTATCAACAAATTAATGTAAAAAAAAATGTTTGATGCAGAAATGTTCAATCGTATTAACCTGTTATATGATGACAACTACTTAAAAATACACCTTGCTGAACAAATGTTTTAAATTAGCTGTTTTTCCATGGACTGAAGTGACAAAAATATGACATTGCTTCCAAAAATCATGCATCTCTACGATACGTCCCACCTTTTTATGAGCATTTTTTACCCTGCTTTCATATTTCCTGTTCTTCTTTGTGTTTTGAATAAACAAATGAGTTTTGGCACATAGTACCCATGTTTAACAATATATATATATTTTTGTATTCTTTATATTTGAGTGATTTTGTTTTATTTGCGGAAAGGCAAATTTCTCATCAAAGTTAATTCAAACAATTTGGCTGGCCACAGACATACAGGGTCCCCCCCCCCCCCAAAAAAAAAAGTTGTGTAAGCAGATATCCTTCAAGTTCTCAAAAACTATTTAACAGATAATGACGGGCATTTTGCACTCAGATGTAAATTAAGTTAACTGTGTAAATCCCATCCCATTGGAATGGGTGAAAAACCCATGGCCTTTTATAATCTGTTAGATCTCTGGTTTGCATGAATGGATTTTCATGGCATTTTCACTGAATGTACGCAAGAGTATAATTAATATGCTCCATCAAGATGAAATACTCATTTTAAGCAGTTTTTGAGAATATCTTCTTGCACATTTTTTTTTGACACCCTGTTCAGATAATGAGTGATAATCAGCTATTTCACACTTTTGTGCGATTTTGTTTTTCAGATTTTCAAAGTTATGAATTTTCAATAGTTACAATCGATTCACTAGTTTATTGATTCTTGTACCATATAAATGCACTCCCAACATGTATTGATTATCGCTGACCTAACATTTTTTTTATTGTAAATATTTTTTAACGTGTATTTGGTGTCAGTGCGTGTAGACTAGCCATTGCTCATGGTGTATTTATGTTTAGGTATTTTAGCACAGCATTTGGAGAACATCTTTTTATCATGATATACGTGCATTTTATTTAACCATTGGGTGTGCAATAAATGTTATAACTTACTTGCTTTGGATCGGTGCCAATTGGAAAATTTAGCGAGAATTCAATTGTAGTCAGTTAAAAAATACTTCAGCATGGCTTTCAAATCAATTAAACTGAATTCATAGGAATGTTGATAGCTACTCAGTGTTAGGAACTTGAATATAGGTTGGTTATTTGTTGTAGTTTGTGCCATTGTATATAAACACTGCTGACATATATGTTAAAGGTTTCTAATGCGGGGCCTCATTTTTGGAGGGATTTTTTGGTAAAAGAATTTCAGAAAGAAAACATTTTAAGGTTCATTTTCAATTTCAAAATGGATTGAGTGGCAACATAATTTTTCCCCTTTAAAAAAAAAATGTCGGAAGGGGTCTGTCCAGTTATGCATATTAATCTATTGTGTGCTGTATTATCTTTTGGGTTTTTTCTTTTGGTGGACTATGACAAGTTTATGTTCTTACTGATCTTGTTTTCTGGATGTTTCATGGTCTGTTGTTTATGGTCCTTGAAAAGGTTACGGGTGCGTTTTGTTATGAAAAGTTTTGAAGCAATCATTGTGCTTGATTTGTCATTGGTAGTGCAGCTGAGTTTCACACTCCATGGGTCTGGTTATAAGGGAACTCTTAGGGGTTTCCCCGCAAAATGTCAGCTTTAGGCAAAACAAAATAAAGTCTCCGGTTTCTGGTATGCGCGCGCGTCGCGGTAGCCATGCGCGTCGGCAAAATGAAGAAAACAAAATTTTCAATGAAAGATGATGTCTCAAAACCGCCAAGCTCACTGGTTTGACTGGAATCCTGCTGCTGCACAAATTTAACGTGTTTTTAGATTGGGTTATGGTTGAGAATAAGCTTTATGTGGCCTCTCTGGACTCCCATATATTTGCACTAAGTTTAGTCGGGCACCATTTGCAGTCATCAGCCGACATTTGAAGCAAAAAAATCAGGTAAAAAAAAAAAAAACCGCGTCGCCGCACCACTTTTTGGGCAAGCTCCATACCAGAAACTGGAGACTTTTTTTTTTTGGCCTTATCTATGTGACCTCAGCTTTTGAAATTTTAGACCCCGACTTGACATGACTGCACCTTGATATACAATGTAGGCCTTTTGTCAAATCCTGTAGTTTGAGAGTCAGGTGAGGAGTAGTTTCACTTTGAACATAATGGGCTTCTGGAGCCGCAGCTGGAGACAAGGCCAAGATTTGATAAATACCCTTTTTATGGTAACATTGTAAATGGTTGGAGCTCTACTTTGTTAACGGTTGTTCATGATAAATTTGATTAAGAAGTAAATTTGGATTACTTATCCGCTTATGACAAGACGTGACATGTTAATCCAGAAAAGACCATTAATTAATAAAAAAAAAATAACAGATTTGAGGGCATATGGAATAATTTACTATAGCCCAGATACACACTGTTTGAAATATAACATTTTATTGGAAGTTTGTGTAAAAAACATATTGCTTTGTAGGTGCATTTACAGTGATCCCCAAATTTCAAAAAAGCTGGTCTTCCAACAAATGTACACATTAAGTTGTCTCGCTGGTACCTTTTACACATGATGGTTTGGCTAAAGTATTTTTTCTTGTTTCATGTGGCGTTATTTTAATTCTGTAACAATGACAGAACACAAGGACTATTTTTGCCATGTTTATCATATCAGTAGCACTGTCCTCTTGGGTAGATGATACGCATACGCTTAATCGCAGTAAGGGGAATATTATTTTGGTGCAGTTTCCTGTGAAAACTGAAAGGTTTTGATTTTTGTTAACTCAGGAATTTCTTTGAACTTTACTTTAATATATACTCTGTTCATGTCACACAGTAAATGTTACTTCGTAACAATTTTCTTTGCGAGAGATGTTATTCACTTGTTCCTCTACAGCCGTTGAAGTGAAATCTCTTCGTTTTCTTTTCAAAAATATATTTTTTGGAAGTTTTATTTTTATGTTATATTTTGCCCTGGGTCAGCTGGTGATTGTGCTAATGGTTTTTTTTAATGGGTATTTTATTTTTTATTTTCTACATTAATCTGTTATAATCTGAAAAGAGTGGCTATATATTAACCCATGGTATTCACAATGTATTGCGATTATGTTTTGTTGATGTATTACAAATGTGCATCCTTCAAAAACTAAAAAATAAACAGATTTGGGTAAATCCTTTGAGTCTTGCGATGAGTTATTTTTTGGTGTCCTTTTAGGGTGTCTTACTTACTTGGAATATTCAAGAACGACTTATTTTACCTTAATGTTAACTTTGTCAACAATTGAGACCCATAGTAGGCACTCCAATTTGCAATAATGCATCTACATTTACTTATACAAATTTCAGGGTCTAATAAGCCTTTAAAATAGCTAAAACGTTCGTGGAACGCATTTTTTTCTTTTTAAAAATCTTTGGACATCCGCCAACATTTTGTAAATTTGTCGTGAAACTAATTTCTATAATTTCTTTCTCACTAAAACAAATTAAAGTTGGTGTAGTCCCACTCGACTGGGGCGCTGGAACTCCTTTTTGACATTTGGGATGTTGGTTGGTCTGTCGAACTAGCGTCCTTCTATACAGAAGCATTCTCAAAGTTTCAATTCCAAATTTCACCAAAAAAGTTGCCAAAAGCACGCAAAATACTTGACAAAAAGACCTTTGAAAGCACCTACTGGCTTCTCCACAATGTTGAAGACGAAGTGATGGGGCTTCAATGATACTCACGATTATTTTGGGGGTTGCAAATCAGTGAAATTAGTACGACAGACCAACATCCCAAATGTCCAAAAAAGGAGTTCTAGCGCCTAATAAAATTACACACCGCGCGCGCTGTCGAAATGAGCGCCACGCCCTTTTGCCGTGCAAAAACTGTTGGCCAAACTACGTCCGCAATGATATACGCATGTCATAATGTCCAGTGCATGCACTGTGAATTTCAAGAACACATCGATTTCGCCGTTATAGTATGTACATGTACTTGACTACTTGATGTGCTGTAAGTTTTGAAACAGTGAATGCCATACTAAAGTAATAAGCGGATATTCGTAAGAAATTTCTTCTCCGTGAGTATGTTCTTCATGAGTTTGCAGCAAAAACTGGGCTTCAGAATAACACCAAGAAAACTGAAGTGCTGAGAATAAACAGCAACCCCAACAACAGGATAGTCGTAGAAGGTCAGCAACTTAATGAAGTGGAAAAGTATACATACCTAGGCGCTAATGTCGGCAAACAAGGAGGAGGAGGAGATGACAATGGGATCTTTCACTAAAGCTCAAGAAAATGTGGAACTCCAAGAAATTCACATGAAGGTTTTTCAAATCACTTGTAATATCAGTCCTGTTCTATGGATGCGAGACATGGAAAATGAGGCTGGATACATTTCAACTCAAATGTCTAAGGAGAATACTCAAAGTCAGATGGTCATCATGTCATATCCAATGATGACATACTTTATAAGAAAACCATGGAAAACCAACATGAAACGGATCAGTGATGACGTCAAATGAAGGAGGTGGAATTGGATTGGCCATGTGCTAAGGATGGATGAAAACTGCCACTGCATGACTGCCCTCTCATGGGTACCAGAAGGCAGAAGAAAAGTAGGGCGCCTTAAGACAACATGGAGGCGAACTGTGGAGAAGGAGAGAAAGTCACTGGGGTGGACATCCTGGAGCAAAGCTAAGCCAATTGCCAAAGACAGGGTGCACTGGAGAGAGATCGTTGCAGCCTTATGGGCCACTGGGCCCGAAGAGGATAAGGTAAGGAGTATGTTCTTCATATAAGTTTATAAGCTGATTTCATAATTTCATTTATGCATTCATTCTTGGGAGAGTGATATTTTAGGTAGTTACTGGCCCTGCTCCAAGTGGAGAACAAACTGTTCTCAATTACCTTCACACCACTCCAATTTGTGTTTACAACATTATGTTGTAAACATTGGGTTTGTCACCGTGACAGGCGTTGCAGTGTTACCCGTTTATTATTATCATTATTATTTTCATAATTCAACATGTCTTATGACATATCATTGTAATGCAAACTGTTAATAATTTTAATTACCTTTACTTCAGGAGGGTTGTCCAACTTCTAAGTCATTTCTCTCAACCCTTCATTTTAATACTTCTTTTCTATGGTGAAACCTGTTTCGTTTTCATGCTTGCATAGCAGTTGATTATTGACCTTCATATCCTTGTATATATTTCTCATCATTACTATTTCTTTCTTTATATCTTATCATATTTGTTCAAACACGTTCTACCAAGATTTTTTAATATGAAGTTGGCTCAGACTATGATTTATTTATTTATTTATGCATATCATCCCAACGAAATCCGCACATCCACGGAGAGAAAAACCAGAGATAAAAACTCATTGAGAAAAATACTCTGGAAAACCCAACAAATAGTACTGATTTTAATGCTCTCCGTTCCCAGCATCACATTTGTATTAATACCAGTTAAATTAGCATGTGAACTCGTTGCCTGTCAGTGCGCAGATGAAGCCAACCCTCATTATTTATACCACCTTCTAACTCCTTCACCTCCGCGTAGCGGAGTGATATTCCAATTGAGAACATAATTCCGTTCTATTTCACTCGGTTCAACCGAAAGAAATATCATTTTCAGTCATACAAAACTAATGTATAACAGCGCATATACTCATCGGGAATTCGACATAATTATAACGATGGAGTGCAAACTATGTTGTAACCGTAGGTTCAAAATGGAGTCCCTAATGCCTAAAAAAAACCCGGACTTTACATGTACAAAAACCCTTTCCGGAAAGCACAAGAAAATCAAATCAAAGATTTGTTAACAACGGGAGCTTTTTAACTGTGGTTTGTGTTTCAAAAAGTATAACAGCTATAGCATTTACGTCCATATACATCAAGCCCCCCCCCTTTTTTTTTTAGTGACGTCTCAATAAAGGCAGGCACTGCGTACGCGTACACCACTGTCTTTTCCCCAAAAAAGATTTGGTAAAAGTGGTCAGAAATTGCCTCAGATCGCACCACAGAGCATCTAGAATCCCCCAAAAAGTTCGGGGCCCCACGCCGTAATTTTTTTTTACCCTCTTTGTGGAGGACCAAATTTTTTTGGCCTCCCCAAAAAGTGTGTTCTGGACCCGCGCTTCATATGCATGTAGGTAGATCATGCATCAGTCCAAAAACGAACAAGGCAAGCCGCAGTTCATTTACTTTCAGTGCCCCCTTGAAATAAATGCACACGGAAAAAAACCCAGCCCACGACAAGTAATAAATTAATTAATTTCAATTTTTGAGTTAAGAACGGGACGCTCCTAATTCGTTCTCAATTCGAATTGAGTGCGCAATTTCTGAACAGGAGCGCACCATTTAAAACCACTTTTTGAAACTGTATATTAAAATAGCCTGAACAAATAAACACGCATATCTATTTGTTGCAGGACATTACATTCCTTTACATTTCGTTCGGAAAAGAAAATCGAAATTTTGAACAAGCACACATTATGTACCAACTTAATTTTTTGGAATGTTGTTGGAATATCTCCTACCAAACTGCTACTGAGTTTTCTTAGACTTACCAAAATTTCTTAAGGGGATGTTACAAAAAAGTTGGCACTATTTAACAAAAGACACAAAATTGAGAGACAAGATCATCGATATGCCATTGTAATTTTTCGTTGCTTTATTCCAATCACCTCTCCATTTATTATTGTCATTTAACGATTCATATTATCCGAGAAATACAGGCCCAAGATTAGAACAAAACATGTGGCTAGTGTTAACCTCCATCACACACGCAAAAAATAAATTCAAAAACTCAACAGAAGCATAATTCATCTTGAAAGATTGGCAAAATGATAACAAAGAGGGCATTAACAAAACATGATGAACCATTGGTTTTACAATGGTTCATGACACACCAAAGAACTTAACATTTAACTATGGAGATATTAGTAAGGACATTATTCAATGGAATAAGGAATCTGTAAGGGAATTGTTCCATGTGTGATATTTCTACACATCGAGTTGCACCTATAGAGATCGCACGAAGATCAAAGCAAGATTTGCGTTCCAATAATGTAGTTCCATGCAAAAAGGGAAACAGACACTCTCTCTTGTAAAGGATACGTTTTCATGTATTCACAAAATAACTTGGAAATTAATAAGCAAACTTGAAGCTGTTTTTTAGACAAATTAATTATAACCAAATTTTAAAAGAACCATTTCATGACAGGCCCAGCTACTGAACCAAGACAGCAACACATGCCAAATTTATCAAAATCCACCAAAACTAAATCACATTACATTCTTCATGTGAATCTTTTTTTTGTACAACATGCATCTAAACGAATGTTTTTCACCCAATGCTGCATTGAAGAGAATTTATTTCACTTCAAAGAAATAACAAACGAGTTGTAATAATGCCCTTTGTAGTTTGTTTAGTTCATCAAACAATATACACACACTTAATCCGCTAAGGTCTGGATTTTGAAATTTTAGGATCATTTGGGATTATCTGCAACTATCTCCAATTCAGAAAAAAAGTTACTTGAAGTAGCAATATTTCGTTATCAAGGATACAATCGTGGAAGGTAATACTCAAGAATGCCAAAGAGGCATTTTTTTTTTTTTAAAGTCGGATGATGAACTCAACCCAATTAAAGATTTAGGGCACGATTCAGTCTGTGGTTTGTGTAAATCTGAAACTAAACTTGGTCCTACATGCAACTTCAGAGGCAAAACCTGTGCTAAGTTGGACTTCCCATCACTGGTAAATCATTTTGGGCACCAGCAAAAGTCAAGGGCTTGTAAAATTTCAAATTTAAAACGTTACATGTGTTTTGAAGAAAGACAAAAAAAATGGATTTAACTGTTTGCAGTCTTGTGTAACATGATGACAAAAAAAAGCAATCACATCAGAGCCAGAAATACTGTTAAAAAAAAAAATCTTCAATTCATGATTTTTTTCAACAAACTCATTCAAAACAATGAAATAAAATTACAAACCTCTAATGCTGTCTTTAAGACGCTGTGGTTTCATCTGCCTTATCCCAAAACTCTTTTTAAGAACTTCAACTTTTAACTTGTGTGCTTTTAATTGATTCCCTATACAATACCAGCAAATTCAATAAGACATTTTCTCAACATACAGACTTTTTCTATATTTTTTGTTTGTTGTTGCAATTTAGGCTTGAAACTGGACAATGAATAGATCTGGAAAAAATAAAACTACACCATATAATTCATAAAAGTAATCCTGTTCATGGCCATTCATGATCACTGTCAGCTAGGGGAAACAAAGGCAAACAATTACAAACGGACGAAACTGACTTGGTAAGGATTCAGTAGCAATATGGCGAAATGAGTTGTTCTTGCGACATAATTTTGGCACAGGCAGTTGATTTTTTACCTTTAGATATACATGTAATGACTTTGAGCCATAAACAGCAATCTCTCTGACAGAATGGCAGGTGAAAGTTAATGAAGGAAACTACACAAAGTGAAAAAACCCACAAATTTCTCTCTGCAATTTCTTTTGATGAGCAGTTGTCAACTCTAAAAAGGCCGGGTAATTTTGACCATCTCACAGCCGGGAGGGGGGGAGGGGGGGGGGGGGGGGGGGGGGGGGCGGTGGATTCCGGCCCCCCCCCCCTCAGATCTCAGCCATCGAGTGACGTAAAATTGTGAAACTTGGTGCATGCATAGAACAACTTAATATGAACATACCCAAGAAATATTATGACTACAAGTCAAAGGGTTTTGGAATTATGGCTAATTAATTATTTATATGCACCACTGGTAATTCTGCTGTGTGTACACTACGTACATGTATATGGGGAAATTAAGTTTTCACTACACGCGACATTGTATTTCTGTGAAATTTGGATGAAATTAGGCCCCAAGTTGCTCTATTTTACAATGGAGCGTAGACATCTTTTTTAAAATGGCAATGGGCCTCAGGAGGGTGATCATCTTTGGATGAAATTTGTCCCAGAATCATAAGATTTCCAACACCCAACCCTCCCCCCCCCCGAAAAAAAAACCAATCAAACAACAGAAAATGAAATATAATGAACCTGCAGTGGTGCCATGTTTGCTCGCATGCCACGATCTCGCGCAGACACTCTTGTTTTACTATACTCTTTGAGGATAATGCTTTGCGTTTCCCTTTGTCCCTGTATTATAACACTCTCACATAGACTAAAGCACACAAACTTACTACAGAGGACCGTTTCCAACAAAAGACCCAACTCCCGAGGACTGAAAGGATCTGTTGTTCTCCCTTTGTGTGTTGATCCTCAGGGGTTATGTAGAACACGTACATGCCATTCTTAACTTTGAGAAGCACAGGCATTTGTTGCAAATTGTAACCATGTAGTTGGTTCAGCGACCAGTGTGCAACTGTTGTGTCACCTCAGTAACACCTTCTAATTGTGGCTTCTGTATTGGTCTGTTACTCGAAGTATACAATATGGTTTAAGCAAAATGTTAAAACCAAAACTTTGGCTCAAGCACCACATGAAGAAGATCGGTACTGGCATTCACATTATGCAACCTTCAATCCAGGATACCTTGGGTTAAAGACCATTCCAAACCACTTACAGCTCGTATCTACATTACATTACATATATCTACATGATCTGCAGAAAAACAAATAATAAATATATACCAATTTTCTTCCAATAGATCTAAACTCTTCAATAACCAATATACTCTCGTGAATATAGAAACCTTCGTCAATTTTTTTTGCAAGGTAATTCTCTGTGCGTTCATTGCAACAAAAGGCTGCAGCCACATGCAAAAAAATTAATTCACAGAGAAGAATACAAGATTTTATAATTTACAAGCGTTGCTGTATAAACAACTTCTTTTTTTGACAGGACCTCAGAAAGTGCGAATCAAACTTCACCTGTGTATGTAGAAGACAAAAAAGGTACTCATTCCAAAAGAAAGAAAAGATGGAAACAATTGGGGAAAAGTCTCTCTACTTGTCTCTCTTCAGTTGTTATCGTTTCTTCTTTCGGTGTTTCTTGCCTTTCTTGCCTCTGTCTTGGCTGCCGCTGTCCCCTCCCCCGTAGCTTGCACCTCCGGCTCCGCCCCCTCGGGCATCCCCCTGGTGGAACTGGCGCAGTAAATCCCTCAAAAGATCTTCACTGAAAAACAAAATTAATGTGTATTCATTAGATGAATTTGCGTCGGGTTGATGTAAATCAACATTAGGCTTTGCCCTTCAACGGCGTATACACACTAAGTGCTGACTTAGAAACAAGTAACCACTTTGCAGTTTGTGCACCAAACTTGTCTTTTGTCTCAATACGTCCCCTGCAACAAAGGAATCACTACCTCCATCTGTTTCCTTGGGATTCCACTAGCACTCTCAACAAATAAATGTTCAAGGAAAATGAGCCAAAATTTTGCTTAGTAAGGATATGGGGTGCTGTGGTCCAATGGTTATGGTGTTCGACTCGTGTGCCGTGGTGCATGGGTTCGAAGCCTGACCATGGGAACATGGTGCTTGCGCTCCTGAGCAAGGCGCTTTACCATTATTGCTTCGTCCTTCGGATGGGACGTGAAGCCGTTGGTCCCGTGTGTTGTGTAATGCACGTTAAGGAACCCAGTGACACTTATCGCTATATAGAGAAGGGGTTTGCCCTGGTGTTTCTGGCAGTGTCTGCAATATGCGCCGCAGCAACTTGTAAACCATTATAAAGGAGCTACATAATGGTTCTCATATTTCCCATGTACTTCATTTACCTGTCTCTAGTAATAGACATAATTTCCAGCGCCTTGAGTACCTAATTGTTGGTAGATACGTGCGCTATATAAGACTTCGGTATTATTATTATTATTATTATTAAGGATATCTCAGTGCTGAAGAATGTGCTGTTTATTTGTAGTAGCTTCCTTCTTCGTAATGTTTATGCCATTTTTTTTTTTTTTGTGGTTTTTATGGGAATTTAGTAAACTACTCGTGAGTACTCGTCTACTCATGAGTAATTTCTCTGCGAGTATTGGAGTAGAGAAATCCATTACTCGCCCAGGCCTGAAGGACATAACCCAGTATTGTGAGGTTGTTACTCACGTCACGTCGCCGTTGAAGTCCTGGCCCCGGTGATGGCTGTGATGGTTTGGAGACGAGGTGCGCTGGCGGGACGGATTCCTGTTACGTTGAGTCCCCACACGGTACCGGATCTCACAAGAATTGGCCTCCATGTATTTCATATCCTGTGGCACAACATTCATTTAGAAGTAAATGCAAGTTGTTTCTTTTTAAGGTGCGGGATAGCAGCTCAACAAATCATCATGTCTCTCTGTAAGTTAGTTAGTAACAAACGTTGACATTGTCTATTGCTCCTACATATTTTGACCAATTTTGACCAAACTTTGTCATAAGTATCAGTAGCCCAGCCCCAACTTGTCACATGATCAAACTGGAGTCAAAAGGCATCATGGGGTCACTGCAAATTTTTTTTTTTCACTCAAAACACTACTCCATCTAGAAATTACATGACACAATCACGTGACTCATGCATGAACACAGCTTCCGAGATATTTCTGATTGAACTTGTGTTCTTGAATGAAGCACACATTACCTACTGCAAAAGCAAACTGTAATATAGTCCGGTCATTAATTAAATGCCCCATTCTCTTTATAGGTTTCTCAAGCAGGATTTGTTCAAATCTTGCTCATTGTGGAGTGCTGTGGCGTCGTGGTCTGGAGCATTGCATTTGTGGTCTGCGGGTAAAGCTGCAGGTTGTGGGCTTGAGTCCAGCCTGTGGCTATGGTGCGTGTGCCCTTGGGCAAGGCACTTTGTTACTCATTGCTTCTCTCCAGCCATGAGTAAATGGGTACCTGTGAGGGCACAGACGGTTATTGTCGTTTGAGTATTAGCTGTTTTGCGCGGAAATGGCCGCATGGAGCTGTATACTCCCCAGGGAGCTGAGATGGTCTTTTGGAATGCGTCATTGGCCCAATGAGCAGGGTAATAATGACGTAGCGCATTAAGCACCAGTAATGGTGGATACGTGTGCTTTATAAATACAGTCATTTACCTGACACTTTGCCCATTCTGTGATGTCGAATATTTTATCTTCCATCATGGCGTAGAAGTGCCACTTGAATCCTAGATGAGTTGTCTCTACCCAAACATCACCCTGCGATTAACACAAAAAGACACTATAACAAATACACCTACATTTTTATCTGTTTAGCACTTTTACTCTTTACAGGGATTGTTTCCAAATAAAATTGGTTTCGAAAAGGAAATTCTATTCAGTCAAGAGTAAAAATACTACATGGGGAGTCAAAACGAAAGTGACCTGGATTCGCCATAACAAGCAGTTAACTTTGTCACACCAACGAAGCATATATTAAACAAGCAGGTTCTTCCACTCATTAAAAAAAAAAAAGGAATTACTGAAATTGATCCATGCTATGAGACGTTATGCATATTTAAATGAAAATAATCCATTTTTACAGCTGTCCATGGAATGCCATTTGAAGCTATTGAGCTGAGTGTGAAAAGATAATAGGATACAAATGATATTTTTATAATTTTTGTCACGACTGAAACATTATTGTTTTTACAGTCAGATTTTTGTTAGGAATACGAGGAAAATTTCTTCTAAACTAACGATGGTTATTTTTGTCTGTAGGTTTTCACTGCGAAACATATGTACATGTAGATGGGTTTGTTTCTCAAACTGTTTCTCCCTCAAGACTCTTTTACTTGGGTTGTACCACAGTTTAGGATCATTCCTCTGTCGTTTTTGAACTACAGGCTACGGCTATGTCGAGCCACTAACCTCATAAGCTGGGTGTCTGGTGCCGTGCCGTCTGCAGAAGCGTGCATAGTGAGGATCTCTGTCCGTCTCATAGCGACGATGTTTACCGTTGCACACATCACAGCTTAACGTGTTCAGAACCTGTGCCAAACAACAGTCAAGGTAAGCACTCTTTGGAAAGGGGAGGGGGGGGGGGGTTTCCTTCAACTACCCCAAATCTTACAAAATTCTGAGGCCACTGAGGACCATTTAAAATGATTCAAGTATGATAGATGTATAAGGTTTGGAAAAAGCTGCTGATGACATCATCATTTTTGCGTCGTTCACTAGGCCCAACTGTATTGAATTATTTCGATGTTAGATGCACACTGCTGATAGCGTGTCCAATGGAATACCCACAAAACATAATGATGCAATCAACATTTTGAATAAACCACCATTTCATGGCCACCACCCAGACTAGAGCTGCATATACATGTACAACTTCCATTTCTACGCCATTTCCAATGGTCCCTAATGAGGCTTGAACTGTTTTAAGTTTGATACATACAGAAAATGGGCCACCAGTTGACAACGCGGTTTCGCTTCTTTTTTTCAAGGCTATTACCCAAGGGCAAAAAAAAAAGTCTTTGGTTTCTGGTATGCGCGCGCGTCGCCGTAGCCATGCGCGTCGGCAAAATGAAAACGTTTTTTTTTTTCAATGAAAGATGATGTCTCAAAACCGCCAAACTCACTGGTTTGACTGGAATCCTGCTGCTGCACAATTTTAACGGTTTTTAGATGGGGTTATGATCGAGAATAAGCTTTATGTGGCCTCTCTGGACTCCCATATATTTGCACTAAGTTTAGTCGGGCACCATTTGCAGTCATCAGCCGACATTTGAGGCAAAAAATCAGGTAAAAAAAAAAGCCGCATCGCCGCACCACTTTTTGGGCAAGCTCCATACCAGAAACCGGAGACTTTTCTTTTTGGCCTAAGGGATATAGGGCTTTGTTTATTTAGACAAGGACAAAAAGCACAAAGTCATACAAGTCAAGTAAAAGAATTTTAACACAGGCTGTTCAGAGCAGGAAGAGCAGCTTCCTTTTTGCTCTCTGCAACTCCCTTCCTTTTTAAAACATTTACTCATTAGAAATTTCTTTGGATAGTTGTTAAATAAAAAAATATCGTTTCCTGTCTCATTCATCAGAAACAAAAATCACAAATGACTCTCAAATGTGGGATAACAATATAATGGGGAATCGGCAGAATTTTCCATGGGGGAAGAAAAAAGCAAATAAAACAAGGTGATCCACTGATCACACATGTCGCTTTTTTTCCGCGGTCGATCCCTATCTGTTTTGTGTTCTTTTTCTTGTAGAAGCCGATTATTTTCAGTTGAAGAAATGATTGGCTCCTGGAATGTATTTGTTTTTATGAAACAATACCGTTTAATATATTTTCCATAATGAGTTATGACCTCAAATGACAACTAGATGACCTTTGACCTCCAATTTCTGAAGACATATCACAAACCCCCACCCAAGAATCACTCCATCCAGGTTACATTTAAAATACATCAAATGCTGTAGACAAAGAAACATTTGAAGCACATTCGAACATTGACCCCTTTATGACCTTTGACCTCAGTAATACGAGGAAGCATTGTGTCTTCCCACCCAAGGGTCACTGCATCCAAGTTTCATCAAAATCCAGGATACATGTAGAAGTTATAAAAAAAAATTAAAAACCGAACCGAAACTTTAACATATACATGTATACGGGGCTACGGTCACACAGAATTCAGGACTGGTAAGTGGTTTCCCAAAACTTCGTTGAGGCAACACAAAAAGTCTAATGTAATGAGGAATTAATAGGATTTTTCAATGAAAAAAAAATAGCAATTAAAAATATATAAACAGTATTCACCTCTTCCATTTTCTCTTCCATTTTCTTCACAAAGTCCTCCATCTAAAAAAAATTAAAACAAAGGCAAAAAGTGTGGTAACAACCTGTGCATGAAAGTTCTTCTAACAAATTCTATAATTTGGTTATTGTCCTGAACAGAGTTTAATCTTTGAAATCATTAGAGTTGGGAAAGATAGCACCCACCTATGATACCTTTGATGTCACTTAAAACTTAGAGTTCAAGGGAAAAGGCCACTGGCTTTCTGCCCAGTGCAAGGTTTTTGAAAGAAAATCCATTCAAGAAAAAAAGTCTACTTACCTCTTCATTCATATGGGTGTACTTGCTTTCCATCTCAAAATCTCTCCGCTTGATCTGATGAGGGGAACACCAGATATTCCAAATAATATCCCATCATATACTTATTAAACAATACATGTACATTGATGCTAACTACTCAGAAGAAATTTTTTGTTGTAAATGAAATCTAGTGGGTGAGTAGTTGTGTACATTAACAAGGAGTACCCCATTAACTGGGTACCCTATTGAAGTAAAACACAAGTACCCGGGTACCCGTAAAAGAAACCCAGCCCAAAATTCAAATACCGGCAGTTTTCTGAAGGGCTTAAACTGCGACTTCTGCAAACTTCGCGCATTGAAATACACAAAAATATGTTTTGGTTTTTCATGTAGCCTGGTTTTGCTTTTGAAACTTCCCCACAAATGGCATTAAAAACCTTTCCTTTTTCATTGTCTGAGAAGTGACCAAGTAATGTGTAAAGTTGGTTACAAGTACCTGATCCCATACACTGGAACCGGTCCCTGACATCAGCAGTCAGGTATTTCGGAACCCGGTTACTATGCACACCAATATAGGTGAAATCAACAGCTACTCAAACACTGAATCAAGGCTACCATTGCGGACTGCAGTGCGGACATAGAATCCTTGAAAACTGATAATGGCAGTTGAATATTACTGCAACAAAAAGCCTACTTAACCCCATGCATACGGGAAGCAGTCATGGCCGTGGCCGCTAATCCTCATTGGAATGCAGTTGCCAGCTGTGGTATGCCGTGGCACACAGCTAGTAGGTAGTTCCACAGCTGCTGCTTTTGTGCAGTTCCGCTACCACACAAAGGCTGTGCAGTCATGCGGGCCACTTGCTCTATGTGTGGAGGAATGTCTCCATTATAACCCGTGCTTAAGGGGTTAATAATAATAATTAATTGTGCTTATATAGCGCTTTCCATCATATCCACGATCTCAAAGTGCTTTACAATTATTAGCCAGTTCATCAGGCCATGGGACCATGCGGCAGCCGATATCAGCGCTCAATCGGTCCTCTACCCTCACAGGTACCCATTTATACTCCTGGGTGAAGAGAGGCAATTGTAGTTAAGTGTCTTGCCGAAGGGCACAAACACCATGTTCCTGGCAGGGTTCGAACCCACGCACCTTCGTACATGAGTCAAATACCGTAACCACTGGACCATGGCGTTCTACACTTAAGGAGACACAGGAATGTACTTGATGCCACATGACACAATTTATTTTAGTCTGGCAGAGTTTCCGTCGATAGTTAAACAAAAACATTATCTGCCAAATAGTGCGCTTTCCAAAATTTGCTTGTAAGGTGGGAAAAAATCAAGACGTTTAGAACTTACGGGATCAGTCAGGGTGTCATAGGCTTTCTGCAAGATTTGAAAAGCCTCCCGGGCGTTAGGATGGTCATTCTGAAAAACAAAAGGGAAAAAAAAGAAATTCAAACAGTTCAGAAATATTCTTACAAATGTCAAACCAACCCTGCCAGAACCTTTCAAACCCACACGAAAAGTTTGAAAAATTTTGCAAAACAGCCAAGCCTAACTTTATTTACATTGGCCGTGAAGCTCATTCAAAGGTACCTATCGTCCCAGGTATTTTTTTACAACTTGACATGCACAAGGAACAGCACCGATGTGGTTACTGATTTCCAACAATGTTGTTTAACACTGGGTTCTGCCCTTCTTGTACTTGTTTTTTATACGGAATGCATTCTCAGTGTTGTCCTAACTTGTGGAGTGCTGTGGCCTCGTGGTTAGGGGCACTGAATTTGTGGTCTGTGGGTAAAGCTGCAGGTTGTGGGTTCGAGTCAAGCCTGGGGTCATGGTGCGTGTGCCCTTGGGCAAGGCACTTTGTCACTCATTGTTTCTCTCCACCAAGGAGTAAAAAGGTACCTGTGAGGGCAGAGATGGTTACTGTGATTGAATCAGCTTCCTTGCGCATTACAGGCTGCATCGAGAGGTATACTCCCCAGGGAGCTGAGATGGTATTTGGAATGTTTAATTGCCCCAACGATCTGGGGTAATAATAATGTAAAGCGCTTTGATCTTAGTTAAAAGCGCTATATAAGAACCTGTTATTATTATTATTATTATTATTAAGTTGGAATTTCAGTCGGGGAGATGTATATACTGATAACCTACCTTGTCTGGATGGACCAGCATGCATTGCCTGCGGTAGTATTTCTTGATGTCATCTTCGCTGGCCTCTGAGCTGACACCGAGGACTTCGTAAGGGTTGTCTTGGTTACAGCGCATCAATCGCTTGATGGCCTCACCCCCTGCATAGAAATTCAGGAGGAAAGTCATGACTAAGGCTATGGATGTATACTGTAGTGTGTCAATGTAAAAAAAAAACTGCAACCCTAGCCGCTGTACACAAACGGCTATGGATATGCCATGAGTTGCATCCCATACACACCCTGGCTTGGCTACATCACTTCCAAAGAGTTACACATATGTGTATTAACCCTAGCCGCCCTGAATCCTCCCAAATCCTTTTTGCAAATTGGAGGAATTTGCAGGATTGAGATTACATGGCAAAAGTGTGTTGCTGATTTCGGAGTACGCACTGTGTTAAGGTCTTGGGCCGGACCTTGTGTTGTTTATGCTCAGCCGTGCATAAATTTAGTCCTCGATTATACTTGACATCCTCCGCACTGCTCCAGGATGCCACTGCCTCTGCCTCAGCCTATTAACAGTCATAGCCGGAGGATTTCGCAGGATTCAGTCACCCCTCCATGGACCATATTCAAGAACTAACGAAGGAACTGGCAGGATTGAGGCTATATGCTATTTTTCCATGAGGCCAGTTGGAGGATTTTGCAGGATTGAGGCTACATCCTAGCAAAAAGGACTAGGGAGTTAGGGTTAAATTTCCAAATTAAATAGCATGGTGGCGTTACACTGACGTATGGATTACAATAAAATAGCACTTCACAGTGTCTTCCAGCTTACCCCCACACTGATGCAAGGAGAGACAAGACAATGAACAATCTTACCTGACGTTGGTATATCAATGCTCCTGGTGGGCTCAGCTGGTGCCCTGCGGTTATCAGTGCCAGATGACCCCCATGACCCTTGACCTCCGGACGACCCTTCAGGTGACCTTTTGCCGTGCCTGTGCTCCTGGATCAGCTTGGCCAGCTCCTTCAGTATGTGCCAGCTGTACTTCAGGCCTACCTTGAGTCTGGGTGAAGTAAAAAAAGTTTCTTCTTAGTGAGTGTTTACAGCATTCAATTTTGAATCAATTTCAACATAAAAACAATCATTTCTTGAAGTCCATCTACGATAGTCTCCAATGGGCAGACTTGCATAATTTGCTGGTAAAATTAAGAATGAACATTAAAATGTCAAATGAATGGCCCTGTACCTCAACTATGCATCCACGTACAGTGGGAATTTCTTCCCAACTGCTGATGGAGCTTGCAGTGTGTTATAGTGTCTGTGTGTTTTCCAAATCCGACGAGTAAACCAAAACATGAAGATCCTTGGAATTAAGCTCAAGCACCAACACACTGAGGTCTGCGTACTCAGCTATTTGATGACAGACAGGAATCTGTTTATATTATCTTCAAATATCTAAGTTTTCATTACATGTTTAAAGGACTTAGACCATTATTTAAAATGGCAAATTTCCTTCGGGTCACTATGCTCGGCTGTGTGTCAAAACGTTCTACTCGTTCACAGCACAGTCCTTAGTGCTTACATATGTTCACATATTTCAGTGTGGTTGGAGACCCAGAAAAAGTACAAGACTAGTTTTAAAAACGAAGCAACGGGACTTACGTGCTGTAGAGACAGGCCAAGAGTATAAGCAGCAGGAAGACAATGAAACAAAGGGTCCACCACAGGCCTTTGCCAATGGCTCTGGTCCACTTGTACCAAGGGTCCACATCTTCAGAGAAGGGAATTAAAAAAAACACAGGTTTAAATTTACAAATGTACATGTACCACGCTGTAAAATACTTTCCAAGACCTGCTTTTTAACCCTAAACACTCTAGGGTACTTTGGTTAGACACCCTGCTGAATGCAGCAACATGCAACACTTGTCAAAATGACAAGCCTGCTCAGTGCAGCAAGATCCATCAGGTCAAAAGTCTCAAGGCCAAACTGCTTCGCTGTGGTCACCAACTGCAGCAGGATATTACTGTGGCATTGCTTAAGGCCAAAAAAAAAAAGTCTCCGGTTTCTGGTATGGAGCTTGCCCCAAAAGTGGTGCGGTGACGCGGCTTTTTTTTTTTTTTACCTTTTTTTCTTCTTTTTCTTTTGGCTTCAAATGTTGGCTGATGACTGCAAATGGTGCCCGACTAAACTTAGTGCAAATATATGGGAGTCCAGAGTGGCCACATAAATCTTATTCTCGATCATAACCCCATCTAAAAACACGTTAAAATTGTGCAGCAGCAGAATTCCAGTCAAACCAGTGAGTTTGGCGGTTTTGAAATATCATCTTGTATTGAAAAAAAAACTTTTTCATTTTGCCGACGCGCATGGCTACGGCGACGCGCGCGCATACCAGAAACCGGAGACTTTTTTTTTTGGCCTAATGGGACTAGCTCTCATTGTTTCAGAATTGGAAGTTTATGCACTTGTGTTGATGGCGGATAATGCAGCAAGGTCTTTTTTACCTTGCCAAAATCAAAGAGTGTATTACGATACATCCTGGTTGCAAGACGATCCAAAATAATGATCTTTGATTTCTCTGTTTGCTCAGGTCTTCAAGAGCTGGTGTACATGTATGCAATGAACCCTCTGTTTGGAACTGCAGAGCAAGAGTTGTTGAAATTCCCCCTTCTTAGTTATCTAACAAGGAACACCTTGTGAACATTTTGCCATCTTGAAAGGAGTTTGAGTAATGTTCATGCACACTTATTTATTGAGACGGCACAATAAAGTGGATGGAGTTTTAAATAATGCTTATAAGTTCTCTACCTTCAACATCAAGGTTGTCTGATGTTGCTCCTGCTCTCTGCCTCTGCCGTGGTCCAGTGTCTTCCTCTCTTGCACTGGCAGCAGTCCTTGCTTCCGAAGTCCTACTTGAGGCCTGCTGTCTTGACCCTTGAGCTGTGCCTGATCGGGAGGACTTGGAACCTGAGTCAGTTGATGGCCTTCCAGGATGAGATGCGTAAGCGGTGCTTGCCTCTGCTCTCTTTTGCTGGTGTTGATGACTATTTGGAGCTGTACCTGATGCCGATCTTGTCTTGGATTCTCCGGGATGAGGCTTGCTGGACTCCCTTGCTTTTGGGTCAGGCTTAGCTGAGGGCACCTTGTTGCTAGAATTTGTCCTAGTCTTACTGAAATCCTCCCGAGGGCTGTTATTTACTGGGACATTTCTAGAGTTGAAGCGGTCCTGTGGTCGAGTGGAAGCTGCATCTTGTGTTGGTTGGGGATGTTTACTTGAACTTGAAAACTGTGACTGTGTCTTCTCACTGGTTTCTTTGGCAGGTCCATTCTCAAAAGGAACTTTGGAGCTTGCTGCATCTGATCTCAATCCAGGATCTTCAGATTTGTCCTGGGACGTGCTTACCTTTGTTGGTCTCGCTGCAGGTTTCGGGGCAGGCTGAGCTTCAGTTTGTCCACTTCTCTTGGATTCAGCACTTGGAAAGCTCTTGTTCTGAGAAGCTTGGGCTGGGGATGCTTGACTAGTCTTCGTTGAAGTACACTTGTCTTTCTCTGCTTTCTGATCCCGCCAGGCGACATAGGAATACTTTGTGCTCGATTTCAGAGGTGGATCACCAGTTTGACTGTTGCTGGCAGAGTTCAAAGAGTCATTCGACTTGAGAGTGGGTGACTTACAATCACTGTTTGAAGTAGAGGCCCTTTCGGCAGAGGTAGACTTTTTAGTTCGTGTTACAGGTTGACTGGTCATACCTCCATTACTGGTTGCGTTGGTATCACATGCCTTTAATGCATCCTCACTTCCTGAACTTGTCGTGTCCTTCAATTTAGCTGTTTGCTGAACAGAAGACGTCACGTTTCTCAATTTGTTGTTTGATTCCGCACAAGATGCTCCAGCACCTGATTGCTTTTTCCTACTATCTTGGTCTTTCTTAGGAGGAGTCGCAAATATTCTTGCGGGCTCCCAGAACGGCTTAGATGGTTGTGTTGGCTGCACCTTGGCTGGTGTTTCCCGCTCACTTCCCTTGATCTTAGATGCTTCAGGATGTTTAGCTTTAACACCAATCCCTCCAACAGCTGCATTGCTAGACTTCAGGGATGCTGCTGAAGAAACCTCTACCTTAGGTTCTTTTGCAGGTTCTGTTGTACCTTTACCAGTACTTTCAGATGAGATGACATGAAGTCCTCTTGAAGCTTCATTCCTTGACTTCTCTGAAGGTGCTGCAGAGGCTTCCACCTTAGGCTCTTGAACAGGTTTAGTAGAAACGTTACTGCCAAGTTCAGGTGAGGTATTTCCTCTTTTAGTTGATGTACTCGGACCCTTAGAAACAGGTTTCAGAGAGCTCGGGATGGCTTGGGTTGACTGAGTAGTCTGTGTTGAAAGGCATTTGTCTTTACCGAAGAACCTGATACGTTTGTCAGCAGGAGCAGTCCATTTGATGCCAGTGCCAGCATGACAAACTGGTATCCTATTCTCCAGGATCCCAGCATCCAGTGATGCTTTCACATCAACATATTCTGCTCGCCGAGGACCCCTGTGGTCCTTTTCTGCTGCATTTGTGCTTCCAGCTTTGGGTTCCTTTTTCAAACTGCTTGTGCCACGGTCGGGACCTGTTTCCCACTGTGATACGGGGCTTCCTTTAAAAGTATCTGTGTCTGAAGCTGTCACAGAGTTCTCATTGCAGTTCTGAACGAATGATGTTTGCTTGGCAGAGGTCTTGGTCTCTTCAGCTGGTTCCGGGTTCCCTTGACTGATGTTGGACGGAACCCCAAGAGGCACGTACATCCTCTTAATGATATCCTCCCACTCTTCTCTTGTCATCCTTCCTGACACATCGCTACTAACACTGCCTGAGCTGTTCAGCCAGCTCTTGTCTGCATCCTCAGTCATACTGTCTGCTTCAATCACCTGTGAGGAATTACAGTCAACTCCATCAGTGATCTTCACATCAGTCGCATCACTTCGCTTCTCTCCTGTTGTCTTTGCACTGCCTCCTCCTCTGCTTTCATTCGAAGAGAGCTTCCTGTTAAAGATGCCGTCTTCTCTCTCACTTCTCTTACTGGAGTTTTCCTTGGCAGAACTGTCCTTCTGATTGCTGTTGCCAGAAGGTTTAAAATCCTTGTAAGAGTTTGATGAATCAAATATCCTCTTTGGATCAAAGAATGGGTAGCTTTCTGTACAACCCTTTGATCCATTGGGGTTAGGGCTACTATGCTTTGAAGGTTTATCAGAGTTGCTGTTTGTTGCAGAATTTGCAGTTGATGGCACAGTTCTTGGTTTTGAGGATTGGCTGCAGTATGGAACACTTCTTGATGGATTCTTGGTCTCATCCTTTTGGCAACTACTTTCTACACTAGCAGACATGGTTCTGACAGGATTTTTGGATCCACTAGTTAGTAATTGTTCCTTCGGTGAGGATGTTTGACCTCTCTTGCTTTGAGAGGCATCTTTCTTTGTCTGCGGAGCTGTTCCTTGACTTTCATGTTGGGGGGCAGCCTCCATTTTCTTCTTCTTCTTTTTCTTGTTCTTCTTGGGTTTGCCCAAGCCAGGTGGAGGGGGCTTCTGAACCCCCGATGATTCATTCCTGACCAGCCACTCCTGCACTTTGTTGGACACCTCATCAAAATTGTCCAGGCCGTAATTGGTCTCGCTGCTGGTCTCCTCCGAGCGCCAGGTATGTGGGGAGCTTTGTCTAGCCCTGCCAGGGTGCTCTTTCAGGCTGAACCGTTCTGTTGAGTTGGCCATTGAGCCCCGCTGGCTGCTCTGGCTCACACTGCCGTTGGCGCCTGATCTGTTATAATTAGGAAGCGAAGCAGCTTTCCGGGGCTCATCTGTCCAAGGTACGTCACTCTGCCGGTAGCCCGAGTCTGCCCACGCCGTTTCGGGTTTTGGGTCCGACACAGCTCCAGTATCATTCCACTGTCCCCACGTATTGTCTTGCGTGCTGGTATTGTACATGTGTGCATCAGTAGGTTTTCCGTAATGGGATCCGAAATTCGTCTTACCAGCATAGGAAACGTTGTTTTGTCTCTGAGGAGGTTGCGGCTCACCAAAGTGAGTCCTGTTCTCTCCGTGATTTTGGACACCTTCCGGATGCGCCCAATAAGCAGGGCCGAACATGCTGTCAGCCACGGTGTTGGAGAAATACTGGGTGGAGGTTCCATTTGCTGGTTGTTGCCACTGACCTCTGGCACTCCTTGGTTTGAACAAGTTCCCGTTGGAGACGTTTGAGCTGCTGTGTACTCCCTCACTGCCCCAGTGCTGTCTCGTGGAGTTCACAGGAGTGGCTGGATTCCTTTCAAACTGCGCCCATTGTGGCTCGGCATCAGGGTAGCTTCGTCCTGGGACTTGTTGTTGGTCCCTGTATGAAGACGGCCACTGCTCGACTTGGGTGAAATAATTCCTGGTTTCTTGAAACGATTCATTGGATGGCTCCAGTGCTACGGCCTGCAAGAGGGAAAGAGACGTTCATTAAAAAAAAATTGTTTTATGCACAAGAGTTACAGTTTTTTTAAAAGCACATGGGTACATATATACATGTAAACATCGCCCCCAACAAAGTACATAATCATTGAGGGGGTCATCATTTTGAATCTGATCGTCTTGTGAAGATGTCCTTGATATAGACGTTTAGGGAATTTTGTTACATTTTGATACCCTGTTTGCTTACCAAAGACTGTAAATTGTCCAAGATTGACAATTGTTTATGAAAAATGATGCAATTTGAAAAGTTGCAAATTAAAAGATAACGCAAGTAGAAATTGCCAAGCGCAAACACACCTGCCCCTAATTGGCCCCTATCGCCTGCACAGTGCTCGAACAAAGTGCAGGTCATTCAAATAGCCTGTGTGCTTCCATGCACAAAAGCACTGTGCGCTCGATATTCCCTGCCGTTCGATTCGGCAAGTGTAACATTGTCACGCAGCAAATTTCCACCTGCGTACTCTTTAAATTTAAAACTTTTCAAACTGCATGATTTTTCATACTACACCGACTTTGTGTGTGCGTACTCAGAGTATTGAATACTGTATTTGTCCAACAATTCGTCCAACGCCGATGACGGTTTAAACCTTCATCAACGTTGGACGAATTACACTCTGTGGTAGCAGACAGGGTATTAAAATGTAGCTATAACAACATTCCCCAAAGGTCTATATAAATTACCTTATCATAAGACGATCAGATTCAAAATGATGACCCTCCAATGAAAATGGATGTTCTTTTTACCCTGTGTATTTATATTTACCTTCTCCAGCAGAATTTTGGCTTGGGCTAAATTTCCATGTACGTAAAATGATAATGCTTGCTCGTGCAGGCGCTCCCCCTCTGACTGTCTCAAATTCATCCTGCAGCAAAAAAACAAAAAACAGGGGACAAAAGTAAATAAAGGAAAACAATGTAGTACATCTTAGAAAGCAAAGCATAATTTCAAATTGAAAGCCTCGCCAACAACCGTCTTACTTTCTCTAACATCCGCACACCGGGGACGAAACTCAGGGGGAAAAGATGTGTTGTACTTCAAATCTCGAAGGACATTAAGCCCCATGTAACGTAATCATGGCATCATTCTACTACTGCCTCCTCATTTGTGAAAATAAAATCCCCCAAAGCCACTGGTGGAGGAGATTTATTGACACTGGCTGGACAAGCAACATGTGCTAGGAGAAGTTGATGGCTGTACAGTGTATGGTAGAGATTTGGTACTGTTTTCATTTCTTATCAGATTTCATCATGTACCGATATGCACACATGTATATATTTGCTTGCAGTCGACAATTAATATTTTCACAGAAATGCCACAATAGTCTATAGCACTGAACCAAACATTCTATGCAAGTGATCAACAAAAGCTTCATTTGTACATGTGTACTGTTGCTAACTCATGCACTAAACCACAACACTTACCGGTACATCAAGGAATATCCTTTCATGAAATGTGTTGACATGTTATAGTCCATCATAAAACTTCTTACGGTAAGTGGCAGCCAGGAAGAAAAGGCATTTCTGCGCACATCTACATGTACATACCGGTACATGTACCATAGAGCAAGGTGCTTACTCTATGCATGCACACATACAACTTCTTAATCTTGGAGTTGACGTATCAGTACCGGTACATGTACTTGTAACACATTCCAGCAAGCCTGAGCCAGGCATTCGATATTACACGTACACGTATCACTGAAAACATTTTTGAATACTGATCATGTTGATGTGCTGTATACATGAACTGTCACAACACTATAAAGTTTGTACATGTATGTATGTATTAGGATGACACACTATATTCATACACATGCATGTGTACATTATGTACAGTATAAGAACCTTTGAATTTATGTACATTTTTTGGTAAATGTACACGTTACAAGTACATTGTGCAGTGCACATGTACACTGTACATGTACCCTATCCGGGGGGGGGGGGGGGGGGGCCTTAAACAAAACACAAAATTACTCAAAAACAATACGGCCTAATAAATTAAAGGTACAAAAAAAAAAATATAATAACGAACCAAGGTTTGGTTTCTAACATGTACACGTGTACCAGTAATTGTCAGAAACTGTCATTTGACCATTACAGGAACACACATGCACAAAAACACATGTACATGTATCATGTATTTGTCGGGTGTCTTCCTCTTTTTAAACCTGCAACTTAGCAAAACATTTGACATACATACATGTACATGCACGTAATTTTACTGTACATGTATACCTGTATCAATTTGGTATCTCTCTTTTCCAATGCTCTTTGGCCATTTGCTTTACATGACAAAGGTCAATTGAATACCGGTGGCATGCAAATTATGTCACTTGTGTGCACTGCCACTCATGACATGGCACAGATATACCAGTACATGTAAATTGTATTACGTATGGACAGGCAACCTGACTCATCTTGCGGACAGACAACAACAACTTGTACATGAAAGAGCTCTGATGATACTTTCCATGACACATGTTTAGCAATGAGCTCACAAGTAGGCCTATACTTACCGTATGTACAGCGTATTAGTTATCGCGAGTGCGAGTGGCACACTGTTTCCAATTCCCACATGACACAAGGCCAAAGGCTGTGTGGTAATGTACATTGTATGTACCGTATGTGGGATGCAGACTCACTACATTATACATTTTCTGCTTTCAATGAGTGCGAGTGGGATTTATACGAATTCACAGAAATGTGTCTGCAAGCAAACTCGACGCACAGTTAGTCAAGATGGAATACACACCAAATACTGGGAAAGATTTCCATAAGAAGTTCACTAATTTTCCTCTGTATTGACTAACAAGCCCCCAGATAGCAATTTCATGTCATCAAAGTCAATTTGAGCAGTGAGAAAATACAAGCATTTTCTTAGAAAACACTTAGAATTTTTCAGTCCACTCTCATAGGGTTTGTACACAGGGTGTTGAGTGAACTTCTTATATGGAAATCTTTCCCAAATACCGTACATCCTGCAGGGCAATTCCACGGTTTGATGGACATGGCTAAGAAAAAAAAAAGTTTATTCTTTAAAGGGAATGTACATCATTGGCTTGTGCCGTAATTTTCAGAAATGAACTATTTGAGGGGTTGGTATAATAGATCAAATATTGTTACACTGACATGTTTGAAGTTTTGTGTTCGAAAATGCAGGAAAACCAAGAAAAACAAAAACGTTTAAGTAGTCTGGTGCCGTGACTCCACTAAAGATTAAATGGATCAATTTATAGATGCCAGAAAATTGTAAGGTAAGGGAACCAGTCTAGCTGGCCTGCAGCCGTTCATGAACATGTAACCAATTGCAAACACAATTTTGACTGGAAAAAAAATGGTAAATTTGGAGCAGTAGTTAAAAAAATAGTTAGGTTTTTCCAACGGTGGTCGGCCGACCACCGTTACCGGATGTGAATTACACCTCGACGAAACGAATGACCACAAAGTTATTAATCAGCATTACAAAAGTGCCAAAATATCATTTCCCGACCGACCGACCATATATTGAAACCGACATTTAAATCGGAAGCAGAATTCATGTATTTCTTTTTTGCCTAATCAAACTAACTCAACCCCACAGACACACCATGTCATCATGAACATTCAGCCCTGGCCATTTCCTAACTGCTAATGGCGATACTAATCATGCTGCAATTACACAGATCTATGGCAGTATCCTCTGTCTGCACATTGCCAAGGGCATTAGAAATCAATGAAAATAGAGCCGAGGGATTGGATCTGTGTCATGTACCGTTGTACGTGACATTTCTCATTGGGATAGGTCGGGGGGAACTTCCCTATTTGTGTAGGTTTGTGAAATTTACTGTAACGACACATTGAGATTACACATTATTGGCCTACATGTTAATTGTTATGGTGTAAGTGCAGATTTGTAACTTAACACAAAGCGACAGCAAATCCCTCAAGTGAGAATGTGGTCAAAATTCTCAGAAAAACTGGGAAAAACAAAATAAACTTTGCCCAGTGTTCGGTATTTTAATGGAGCGGTAGATTGATATTCATTGTGTTATTTGGCCTATGTACAAGGTAGGCTCCGGACGAAGGACACATCAAATTTCAATTTACAAAACATGCAAAACTTTTTAAGAGAAAAGTGTTACAGAACATTTTTGAAAAAGGACCCTGCGCCACTTAAAGGGGTACTGCGTCCTGAAATCCCCCAAAATTTCATGTTTTGGATTGTTTACTTATCCTATTTTAAACGTCTGGTTGAAAGGAAACCAACCTAATGTCTCACCGTTCCCGAGAAAAGACAAAAAAAAAACACCAATTGTTTACATCGGACACGACGGAGTACATGTATGATATGTGTTTCCTGTTGTTTTCATACAATGTACGATACACGTTGTGTGTGTCTAGTATTAAACACATACATGTACACAGCACCGTGCTCACCAACAGCAGTGACCAATCACCAATGCACAATATGTGATTTCTTACATGTCCGCAAAAGGCGAACCCTTACGGCTGGAATCAGAACTAGCACGAACAGCCCGACTTTTTGGAGTCGCAAAAGTGGACCCCGAATGACGTTCTCGCACGAATAACACAAGAATACTACAAAAGCGCCAACTTTTTAAAGGATAGTTGTGTGGATCATGTTTATATCCTACTTTTAAATGTTCTTTCCGATTAACATCGTTTCATTCAAAATGCGTTTTGTAGCCCAATTGGGCGTATTCCAGGTTGCAGTGTCCCTTCAATACAATGAAACAAAAGCTTCTGTAATTAACCAAATTTGTAACCCATTGGAAATTGCCAGAAACTTTCCATGGGAAGTTTCATACATAAATTTCTGGATAGTTTCCGACCACGTGCACAAATGCACCTGCAATGTTTCCTGTGTGGTATCTGTTACATACATCTGTAATGTATCCATGTAGCACCATCGTGCATAAAGGAGGCCAAGTGGTCTTGCAAATCATAAAACTATTGCAGGGATATCCGCTGACTGGTTGAAACTCAGCACCACAGCTTAGATTTTGACGTCATCCAAGATGGCTGACAAGAGATACCGGTATTGCCAAACCGAAACCCCAACCGAACCTGAAGTTAATCCTCACTATATTTAATTACAGCATTAAGAAAAGAAAAGTTCTTCATTCCTCTTATGACAAAACTTTGCCTAAAAGATTTTGGATCGTGCCAGGGATCACATACATTTATTTAGCTGCCATATCTTTCTCATACACTTGTGGTTACCCATAACGGAGACACAATATCGATAACCAAGACGCAAAACCCCAACTGAACCTGAAGTTACTCCTCAATTTATTTTTCAGTGTGGCCTTACAATTTAAGCATCTAAAAATAAAATCGATATTCCTCTTGGGACAAAACTTTGCTTGAAAGCTTTTGGATCGCGCCAGGGATAACATAGCTGCCATATTCCAAGTGGTTACCCATATATTCGAAGACACGATATCGAAAGGCGGCGGCTACTGAATTTTGGTCAGAATCTGGAGGCCAAGATGCGGGGTAGTTTTGCATCAGTCGTACAAATATCTACACTGTATTCCATAGATTGCCTGACTAAGGAGAAATGTGTAAAAAGTACCCGACATCCTAGATATTTCTTTTGGCACAGTCAGCTGACAGTTGATTGATGTAGTAAGTGAAGAGTTGTTGGACTGGTTGTTTCATGTGCCAGTCTATTTTCTTGTATTGCATGTTTTAATACCTTAAGTTTTGGGACTCTCATGTACATGTATACACAAGTATTGAGAGTCCCAAATTTTCGGACTAGGTCATATCCCAGCATGCCTGGGTTTACCGGTTATGGCCGCAGCACAAGCAGGCCAATCACAGGGCGTCTCGATTGGGTGCCTCAATTGGGCGACTCGATGGGCCAATCAGGCGACTCGGTGGGCCAATCACAGAATGGGAGGCGCCCAATCGAGGCACCCTGGGATTGGCCTGTCTGATGCTAGTCATGCACGCAAGTCGATCGCAGCCGATCTTCCCAAACATGCATAAATACATGTGCATACCAAAACATGTGTTATGTGTAACTGTAGTTACATTTGGATTGGATCTAGTCCGAAAATTTGGGACTCTCAATACTGTGTATGAGAGTCCCAAAACTTAAGGTATTGAAAACATGCAAAACAAGAAAATAGACTGGCACCTAAAACGACCAGTCTTTCAGTAATGCATCAATCAACCATGCCAAAAGAATTTAAGAAACATGTGGCATGAAGCGGGAACTAGTCTCAATTTACTACACATTTCTCCATAGTAAAGCCACCAGACTATTGACACTGAATGAAGAGGTCAGTCTTTCCAAATAGTTGGACCATGGTTGGACATGTACCAGTCTAGTGTTTAGCCCCATTTTGGAATCACTTGACTTCCCTCTCATGTGCAAAATATTGAAGAAAAGTCTCCTTTAAAAATTGAATTGAGTCTGCAAACTTGGTAGGTGAAATACTGAGGACATGTTCTTTGCCCCAGTGCAATTTTTGGAGAAGTTTGCTGGCTAAACTGTGAGTAAAGTGGGCCTGATTTAGTTTTGCACGTTTCAGAGCACTCCAGAGCCCTGTCTGGATTGGATCGATAGAGGGCAGAAGGGTTTTGAATTGTTTAGGGAAATTTGGGGGAAAGATTCCCATATATAGGCTAGATATACTGATGCCACTTTCTTCTTTCAAGCACCAAAAAGTTACATTATTTCCCTCCTTCCTTGGCTGCCCTCCTCGACTCTCCTTCTCAGTCAGTAATCCGGCCTAATCAATTAAATTTTACAAAGACATTCAGATCATTAGAATTTGAGAAAGACAACTGAAGTCATTTGGAAGGATTACAAACACTGGACCAAATCAATAGGGGGCCCTAGTCATACAGAATCTCGCATTAAACTTTACAGACTGACAGTGCGTGAAGTCGGCATGCAATTGCATGCCATACAAATTTAAAGCAACTATTTCTAATTCTATGTTATCACACATGCACAAAACAGACGGATTTGTTACTCACATCGGACGCTCATTTCTCCCATTCACGCTTCCAACATGTCCAAAACCGCTCCAATTACTCTGCGCCATCACCCACCACCCTCAACGAACAACGGGTCAGGGACCTTCCAATGTTCTGTTTTGTGAATCGAGCTACATTCTGGCATGTGTTCGGCATGGTCAAGGAAGGAATCACCGATGATCAGACCGCAGGCATTGCATATGTCCGAGTGGAGTGCAATGACGTGCATGTAATGTTATGACCTCGGCATGTCTACCAATTCGGTCCGGACTCAACTCGCTTCTGTGTCAACATGGTCTAGCACACAAGCTCCAATTAAGCCAGCTCGGCCCTATATCTCGACGTAAGGAAAACATCAAGTCGGTCCTCCGTTTCAATTGGTCTACAGTCAACTCGGTACTTGTCTACGTACGTCTGCGTAGTAGCTGGCGTTATCACACACGTACCTTCCGGATGTGAACTGCATTGCAATGTATCAATGAGTAACCTCGTTCCCTAGATGTACTGTCCAAACTTGAATCATGTTATGTTGCTCACTGAGGTACCTTGGAAACGAGGTTGGTTGTGTTGGAAAAATACTGAGTGAATACGACATTTTTTGGGAAAATGATGTTTACTCGAACTTCACGTGTTGGCTTCATGGTTGGGGGATAATTATCTGGAATTTATTTGGTCTATGCGTGTATTTATTCTTTAATTTGTTGATTTATCCTTTAATTTGTTGATCAGGACCTGATCTCCTTTTGAAATTTAATCGTTTTAATTGTCTTTATTTTTTCCCCACTAAGTCTGGAGAAACAATTTTAGGCCTAACAGGATTCATGTTAGCCTTTGTTAGGAATGTACTCATTATAATTACGTTAACTTCAAATAATATCGCCGAAGTTCCTGCAGACTGTGTATATCCATAATTATAAACATGTACATAAAATAAGAAATAGGAAAGACATTTGGGGGATCACTATTTAAAAAGGGGGCACTTGCGTATCCGTGCTGAAATGTCGACACATTTTTTTTTCATTGGACACTTTGCCAGCTAGTTGGCCTCCGCATCAACCTCGTCCCAGGGTGTCGAGCAGTACGCGCCTACCACTACCTGCTCTGTCACCCTGGTATGGTATTGGATCATTCACGGATCTTTGAACGCGTATACATGCAAATGAGGAATAGTCTGGTGTACATTATAATTACAACGATCGTGAAAACACGTAATGCACGTTGGAAATAACAACACCAACGATATAGGCCTATATCTATTACGGTATCGAACCAGAATACGGGAAGAAAGTTTCCTATCCAGGGCTTACTATTGGAAATGAGGTTGGAAATAAAGTAAGCACTGGGACGAGGTTGCTTTCGTATAATCAAATAGTGTGTGGGGGGGGGGGGGGGGGGGGGGGCTGGTACCATCTTCCAAAATACTGGGGGGGGGGGGGGTTGCTCTTCAAAACCGTCCAATTATGTATCAATTTTCAGGGCGCATTGTAAGGGTTTGGGGGCTTGCCTTTCATATTCCTCGTTCATATCAGAAATCTCTATACCATTTTAGGAATCCGAAATTGTACGGCCAGTGTTGTTTTAGTGACACATTGTTTGTTATTTAATGCGCAAGGGGGCACAATTATGTCCTCAAGAGAGGCACTTGGGTAAAACTGGGAGAAAGTGCCACCCCCCCCCCCCCCCCCCCCCCCCCCGTTTCCGCCGCCCCTGTATGTAGCTCAGCGGAGCGAGTGATGTTTTCCACACAGGTTTATAAAGGGTCAGTGCGATGAATTTTTCTTAGAAACACACTTTGTACCACTTTCCTTTCCTCTTAAGTATATCATCTATTTCACATTCCTTTTTGGTGAATTTTATTGAAAAGTCCACCTTTATAAACCAACTTTAACTGACATTTTCAGTCCTAACCAAACCTCGCGCCAAAATGTTCGAAATGAATAGTCAATAATGTTATCAATGATCGCAAAAAGCGGCTACGGACGAATCGGAAGTACGAAGTCGATTTGACGTAATCCGAATGATGTTTTGATTTTAAAGGATCCAGATTATTGCAGTCGATTGAAATATGGCGTCATTAAAAATGAGCATTAAGTTTACATTTGTGAACAAGGATGCACTCTCACACAATCACGAGAAATCCCGTCGATGGAAACGTGATTTCAGATTTGCGAACGTTTTCGTCGTCTTTTACCACATGTAAAATTGTCGTCTTACATTTCAGGCATTGGATATTTAATAAAATCCAAGACTTGTGCGAAATTTTCAGTCCTATTAGAAAATCTCGCGCCCACACTCGGAAAGTAACGCGCTACCCCCGATAAACGGACGGAATTATAGGGTGCAGTGAACTAATTCAAGTGAGATTTTTTTTTGCGCCAGCTGATTAGCATAAAAAGTGCCCCCACAATTTCTTTTAAAAAAGGAGACCGTTTGGCTTTAAAAACGGTGAAATTGTGTACATATAGCCAAGGATCAACTCCCTGGATTTTGGGCTACTGTCTGAGGGCAGGCTTGATAAAATTACGGTTGAAAAATGGGTCCTATTTGCCTGAGAAAGTGGAAGGATGCGACTTGTAAAATGGCTACATGCAGACTTTACGACGATTTCTCATACATTTTAATTTGAAAACTTAATTTAGGAAGTATGGTATCAATTCTACTTGTTATTTTGGTCAAATATACATCTTTCAAAACATTAGTCGGGGGGGGGGGGTCCCGCCACTGATCTTGTTTATTATTATAAGGCCCCCAATTATTGCCGACTTTGCAGATCATTAAGTGGAGATAGGATGGAGACTGGTTTTTCACTCTCAAAGTATCATTTTCCCAATCGCTCCGTATCGTTATCTAGTAAAAGTGCCAAACATGTTTATCAACAAAATGTTAAGTCCCGTATTAAACGTATTTTACCCACGCGCCGTGCTTTTGTCAATTATATTCAATTTTTCAACCAATTACCGCTAACCGAATTCATTTTAGTAATATTGGAGGTAAACTGGCACCGATAATTTATTCATTTTTTTTTTTAAAATAATTTATTAATATACCTCCAAAAAATGTAATCTAACGTTAGGCGGCCAGCTTTAAAGTGGAAAACTCTGAATTATTTTCAAAGAATCGCCATGATATTAAAAAGTAGAGATGTAACAGGCGCAACAGTCATTTTTAAAGTAGCTTTGATATTTGAAAAAAGTGCAAAATGGGTGCAGGGGGTTGATGCTTCGCAGACGAAATGTAGCTGCTCTCTGATGATCTTACTCCAACCACACTCCAATCTGCGAAGCAATCAACATTTACATTACAATACTACGCTATTTACATATAATTTACATATCTACATAAATTACCTAATAATTAACCCTACACCCAACTAACCTAACTAACTAGGCCTACACTACTGGATTCGAACCCGCGCTGGTGACCTGATGGGCTGGCCACTGTCCTGGACTTATAATACAATAGAAAATTGGGCCTGATAAATATGACACCGCCCTCATTTTTAAATTTGGCTGAAACTCGGCAAAAAATGTAATTCGACGTGCCCATATTGCTGTGCGGAAACAGTCTGACTACTCAAAATACACAATTTCTGAATTAAAAACGAGAAAGAGTTTTTTTCGTTGCGCAATAGTCAAAATGTTAGCAATGAATAGTCAAAATGTTAACAATGATCGCAAAAATCGGCTACGGACGAATCGGAAGTACGAATTTGATTTGACGTAATCCGAGTGATGTTTTGATTTTTAAGGTTCCAGATTATTACAGTTGAATGAAATTTCGCGTCAATTAAAATGAGCCTTAAGTTTAAATTTGTGAACAAGGATGCACTCTCATACAATCACGAGAAATCCCGTCGTCGGGAACGTGATTTCAGAATATAACTGTTGCGACCGTTTTCGTCAAATTTTGCCACATTGAAAATTGTCTTACATTTCAGGCATTGGAAATTTAACAAAATCCAAGATTTGTGTGAAATTTTCGGTCCTATCAAAACCTTGCGCCAAAATGTTAACAACGAATAGTCAATATATGTTAACGATGATCGCAAAAATCGGCTACGGACGAATCGGAAGTACGAATTTAATTTGACGTAATCCGAATGATGTTTTGATTTTTAAGGATCCAGATTATTTTTGTCGAATGAAATTTGGTGTCAATAAAAATGAGCATTAAGTTTTCATTTGTGAACAAGGATGCACTCTCACACAATCACGAGAAATCCCGTCGATGGAAACGTGAATTCAGATTCGCGAACGTTTTCGTCGTATTTTGCCACATGTAAAATTGTCGTCGTTCATCTTAGGCATTGGATATTTAATAAAATTCAAGATTTGTGCGAAATTTTCAGTCCTAACAAAACCTCGCGACAAAATGTTAACAACGACTATAGTCAGTATGTTAACAATGATCGCAAAAATCGGCTACGGACGAATCGGAAGTACGAAGTCGATTTGACGTAATGCGAATGATGTTTTGATTTTCAAGGATCCAGATTATTTTTGTCGAATGAAATTTGGCGACAATCAAAATAAGCATTAAGTTTACACTTGTGAACAAGGATGCACTCTCACACAATCACGAGCAATCCCGTCGATGGAAACGTGATTTCAGATTCGCGAACGTTTTCGTCGTATATTGCCACATGGAAAATTGTCGTCTTACATTTTAGGCATTGGATATTTAATAAAATCCAAGATTTGTGCGACATTTTCAGTCCTAAAAAAACCTTGCGCCAAAATCTTCACAACGAATATATTCAATATGTTAACAATGGTCGCAAAAATCGGCTACGGACGAATCGGCAGTACGAATTCAATTTGACGTAATCCGAATGATGTTTTGATTTTCAAGGATCCAGATTATTGTAGTCGAATGAAATTTGGCGACAATCAAAATAAGCATTAATTTTACATTCGTGAACAAGGATGCACTCTCACACAATCACGAGAAATCCCGTCGATGGAAACGTGATTTCAGATTTGCGAACGTTTTCGTCGCATTTTGCCACATGTTAAATTGTCGTCTTACATTTCAGGCATTGGATATTTAATAAAATGCAAGACTTGTGAGAAATGTTCAGTCTTATAACAAAATCTCGCGCCAACACGAAATCTCGGAAAGTAACGCGCTACGCCCGATAAACGGACAGAATAATATTATAGGGTGAACTAATTCAAGTAAGAATTTTTTACGCCAGCTGATTAGCAGAAAAAGTGACCCCACAATTTCTTTTAAAAAAGGAGACCGTTTGGCTTTAAAAACGGTGAAATTGTGTACATATAGCCAAGGATCAACTCCCTGGATTTTGGGCTACTGTCTGAGGGCAGGCTTGATAAAATTACGGTTGAAAAATGGGTCCTATTTGCCTGAGAAAGTGGAAGGATGCGACTTGTAAAATGGCTACATGCAGACTTTACGACGATTTCTCATACATTT